AGCCGGGCCGGAGGAGACATGCCGAACTCTGAAGCTGGTTTTGAAACAGCGCAATCGCTGGTGCCATGGGGGTGTGTGCTGTGCTTTTGTACAGGTTCTCGGCGGAGAGCCTTCTCATGGAATTGGTAGTCAAGACTTTTGGAAAGAAGGATGGGAAGACGGGCGGACGGCGCACACATGATATGATATCCCCCTTTATTTGGAGAATGCCGCCAGAACGAACATGTGTATATCTATCGCAAGTTTTGGAGAATCACTTGGAAAGATGTGGTATAGAAGAGAGAAGAATGCACCCAAGAGAGGCTTTATATACCCCCTAGCGCGAAAAGTTACCATCACATGCACCAAGGCGCTCCAAATTTGAGTGAAGTGAAGACGCCAAGGTCTGATCATAATTGCATAATCCATCCGATCATCAATCTATCATATACCCATACCTCCGTCTACGCAAAGAATGATGTAAAGAAAGAAAGAAAGAGACTCCTGTAAATGCCCATAAACCATCATGTATACTTCATGAAAGCATCTTAACCAAGCGTCAAAAGAGGCGTTACCATAGGGCAAGCATTAGGGAGAGAACCACGAACCCCCGAAAAGTAATGGCAACAACCCACCATCTTACTCATCTCTAAAACCTTGTTGTAGGGAGAATCAACCATCCATAGTAATATACACATATCGCAAAAACCTTCTTCTAATCAATCCCAATCAAACGACAATCGCTCCTAGTTGTTTGCCAGCGTAGGCGCACGCCTGAGTTTGTAATCCGGCAGATGGTCAAAGTCATCTGTCTCGGAGTTGTATCGCCAGGCCTTGAACTCGACGCCGTAGGGCTTGGGTTCGAGCTGGTACAGCATACCCAGCGGGCAGTCCAGATCGGCCACGTCCTCGCGCTTAAGACCCTGGAAATATGCCAGTAGCACGCGGGCTACGCTGCGGTGTGTGATGAGCAGGCAGTGGTCTGTCATGCGCTCGAGCTCTACGATAACGGGGCGGATGCGGTTGATGACGTCGAGGTAGCCTTCGCCGCCGGGGCCGGGGTATCGGTATGCGAGCTTGTCGCGTCGCCGTTGGAGGTACTCGTCTGCGTACTTTGTGCGGATCTCTTCGTAGGTAAGGCCCTCCATCAGACCTGCGTTCAGCTCGTCCAGCATGCGCATCTGCTTGACCTCGAAGTCTTCGTCGCAAAAGTATTGCCCTGTTTGGATGCCGCGCTTGAGCATGGATGTCCAGACACAGAAATTGCGTTGTTCGAGCTCGTGGCTGTAGTACGGGTTCGGAGGGGTGTGGTCGCCTGCTACTGGTGGGAAGTGAGTATTGGCCATCTTGTCTGCCTGCCGGACTGCCCAGTCCTTGCGCTGGGCCGCAATAAAGCGTGTCATCGCCTTTGCGTACTTTTGTCCGTTCTCGCTAAGATCGGAGTCGCCGCCAATCTTTCCAGCCACATTGTCCGCTGACTCGCCGTGTCTTGTTATCCAGATCATGCGCGGTGCGAGGTTGAAGTTGAGGAGGTAGTAGACGGCTTGGCCAGCGAGGAAGCCCTTGATCTGATGCGAGATCATCTTCCGGCCAACATCCACCATCTTGACGTACGGCATGTTGTTGTCTTCCTCGTAGTCGCCGATCGGAACGTAGTTCTTCTCGTAAATGGCCACGCGTTTCTTGAAGTCGGCCAGTGCCGCGACCTTGTCCTTGTCCTTGTAATCTGGACCCGACAGCTTGAGGCGCATGTTGGATTCGAGCAGATTCTGGTCTCGACATACGCTCTCGACGAACAGAACGTTGAGTTCTGGCCCGGCACGATTCCGTATCCGCTCCATGATCTGCTGGCGCCGCGCGAGCGTGCTGTTGGTTGCATCGAAAATGCCGACAGAGCCACTGCCTTTCAGAATGTAGTCGAGCAGGTCGTCCAGAGTCTCCATGGCGCATTGCTCTCGCAGTGCCGCTGCCCGTTGGTTTTGTGGGTCGAAAAAGTCCGCCGACTGGTCCATGGACTCGTTCTCCTCCTCCACCGCCTCATTGTTCGGTGACGGCGCCTTTGGACCTGGTGATGTGACCTCGACGCGTGGTGGTGGTAGTGACGGACCCTCTTCGTCATCCTCCGCAATGGCCGTGCTCCCCCGGCGTGGGTCCGGCAGGTTCTGTGGGTCTACGGGCCCATCGTGCGCGGGGTCGCCATTGATAAGAATTTTCGCAGCGATTTGCGGCAGTGTGTCCTGATGCTCCTCAATGGCCTGCTTGACAGACGAAGAGACCCGCTCGAGGTTCGCTTGCGACAGCCGAAACCCACTGTGACTCGCAGCTACTCTCCGCTTCTCTCCCACATTGAAAATCTTGGTGTCGTGCTGCAACCAGTTCAGGTACCGTGCCATTTTCTTTGTGATGTATGACTTGCCGCGCGCGGGCAGTCCGACCATGACGATGACGAGCTTGGAGCCAACATCTCGCTGTGCGATCTTGCCGTCGGGGGAGACCTTGGACTTGGTCAGGCCGGGGATATCGAGCGTAGTAGGCCGTAATCGCGGGGTTGACACGGCGGAGCTGTTGCGTGTTATGGCGCTGTTACGGTCAGTGAAGTAGGATGAGCTCTGCGGCGGCGCGTCTCCATACTCCCGCGGGCTTCCCGGAACAGATGGCAGTGGGGTGTCACTCAAGGCAGCACCCACGCCATCCTTTGTGACCAGAGTGCCATTGTGGTGTTGTTGTTGGACTGGGTTCGGTACAGCCTTTAGTTCGCCATTCTGAAGTGCGCGCTCCTTGAGAGCTTGCACGTTCTTTGCAGGCGCAACCGCAGGGAATCTGGGCTCAGCGGATGAGGCGCGCGGAGTGAGGTCGTTGTCGGGGTTAGTGTTTGGTTGCTTTGCGTTGTCGAGAGGGATGGTGAGTTTGCTCATTACAGATCGGGCGTAGATGGAGTGGGAGCTGAGGCGGCGGTTGGTAGTCGAGGTGTTTGAGGAAGTTGATGATCGACGGCGATCCGGGTGCTTGCGATGTACAAGCTCGGTCACCATCGGCGTCGGGACTGCTTCCATGTTCGGCGTCATGCCAAGATGTCGAAATACTTATGTCAAGCTAGCCTCGCCGCTGCGCTAAGATAGCACCCAGGGCGCTGGAGGCGAGTCGCGGCTGCCGGTGCAAGACTGGGTTGCGTTGAGGAGATGTTTCAAAAAAAGTTGTGTGGAAGAAGGGTCTCTGTTGGAATGTCGGGTGGATTTGCAGAGGCAGGCTGATCGGGCCGTTGACCTTATCAAGGGCTGGCTCGATATGACTGTTCGGAGTCGGCCTTTGGTTGAGAGAACCACGGGTACGCCGCTTGAACTAGACCGTTGGCGGAGGACGAGTTTTCAGGAACGCGCGCAAACGCGTTGAGAAATGCATCATCGGCAGTTTATATCTCGCAGCCTGGTCGGTGAAACTGCGATGCAATAAGGCGCGACTTGTCTGCATCCCTCGCCATGTTACAGGCCGCTTGGCAGGTGCAGGTGTTCTTGCTCGAAGCGGACAAACCCCACAGTCCGACTCCGATAACCAATCAATCCACCACGCCTCCCAATACAGCTCGCGACGATAAAGAGAGCACACCTTTACCGTGATCTGTACCCGGGTACAGGCCGAGTTAAGAACCAAAGTAGCCCTGAATCAAGCCATGGTTCCATTGTCGTGTGATGCTCCATTACTTTCAAGGTGTCTCGCACTTGTCCGATGTCGACCAGTTCGTGGGTGGACCCAACAACGTCAGTGTGCAGCCACCAACTCCACAATTGTACTGTATAGGTCAAAGTCCTTGGCACGCATATACAGTACACACGCGACATGTATTTCCCCAGATTCCGAGAAGCCTTCCAGACGCGCCTTCCGTATCGTGGGGATCCTGAGCCACTTGCAACATGCTTGGATCGATACCACGCTAGCCTTGTCACCCGTGATGAAGTGTTTGTCGAAAAGCAAAGGATGACTCTCACGTCCGAGGAGCAGAGTCAGTGGCTATGTCGTAAGCTTCAGCGTCAGGACCAGCAGGCAGATGTACGCTGAGACGCTCAAGGCCGTCAACACAGACACCACATTGCCGGATGTTCGGAACTTCTTCCTGTGCAGGCCATCCTCACCGACTTCCGAGAAGAACTGTTTGTTTCCTATTCGCTGTCAGCACCCGCATTCTCGTCGTCATACATCCGCATGATCGTTCCCAACTGACCTTGTTGTCGCCGGAACAAACTGATGAACAAGATGCCAGCACCGTAGACAGCGAACAGCGCACCGATCGAGTAGAACTCGGCGGTGAAGATCTTTAGCACGACAAGCGCAAAAGAAAACTGGCCGATTGCTGTACGGACGTAGGCGCCTTCGAATGTTCGCTGTGCTGCGCGGATTTCAACCAGCTCTGGACCAGTCAAGATGACTGAGCGTGCGCGATGTAGATGGAGACGATATCTGTCTGCTGCGTGACGGCCCTGGACGTTGTGAGCGCTGGACACTTCTTGACGAAACATGCAAAGATCCTACCTCGAACATGGTGACTGTTGCAGGTTCACCAAGATGCGGAAGGATGGCAGTGAGTGGTGATGTTGCTATCCCGGTACTACCTCGGGATAGAGTTGGGTACGCGATTGATAGCTAGAGGAGACGGGTGACGTAGTGGGGTAGGGAGTATCCCGAGGTTCAAACGACAACGCGTCGAGCAACCCGCCAGTACGTGTTTTCACTCTCACGACGTGTATATTCAAGTCGCACGAGTAACAAAAGTCGGACTTGGTGAAGATGTCTCGTTCTCGCGAAATGTCAAACGCGGTTAGTTCTACACAAACGCGTTAGCGCGCCTTCCCAAGATGAAGCTCCAGCGACTGACGTTGCTGCAGGGTCCAAGCACCTCCGAAGTTGTTCCTCCGTGACCGTCCCCGCAACCACAAACAATGTTGCGGAAAGACCAATTCGATACTTAACCTCGCGACGACACCGAATCCAGGTAAAATTGCCATCCTCCTACAACGAACAAGCGCTGCATGCGACTTGGCGCCTGGCGAATCTTCACGCAGCGCGTCGTATTTCCTTCTTCGACCAGCGCAAGGTATGCTCTTACTACGAGTGCTCGACAACGCGACTTGTCATCACTTTATAACTTTGGTCTCTAATTGACACAAGTAGGGACTCGAACAACAGCCGGACCCGCTTTACAAGCCCATTGTCTCGATCGCACGTAACGTTTGTACGCCCATTTCCGCCCTGGGACGACTACCCCGATACCCGTGTCAACGAAGAGGGAAGAATGGGGAAGTGGAACTACTACGGAGTGAAGGTCGGGCGCAAACCGGGCATCTACACGGATTGGCCGAACACAGAGGCGCAAGTCAAGGGCTACAGTGGTGGACTACAACAGGGCTTCAAAACTCGAACGGAGGCTGAGGAATACGTCTACGGCCCCAATGGACGTTCTAGTGCACCCATAAGCCTACGAGGAGATCTTTCTGCATCTGGGTCCCCATCGGCGACAGGCAATCCGGCCAGGAGTAGAGAGATATCAGAGAGTGCGCCAAAGCGACAAAAGAAGGAGAACGCACCACCGGCATTGATTCCAGATCACCAGGAAGTCAAGATCGAGCCCGGGTACGGCCCCCTTCCACCAGACGCAGTAGACGGTTTCGACCCGAATATCAAGCTCGACGAGCTAACAGGCAGGATCAGAGAGAAGACTGAGGAGGAACTTGGCAAGAGGAAGAGACAGCCGACCAGAGACTCCAAAAGCCCCGTTGTGGTATACACCGACGGCGGTTCGCGAGGCAATGGTAATGCTGGCGCCAAAGCTGGTTGCGGTGTCTACTTCGGCCCACAAGATCCCAGGTTCGTGTGGTGTCTAACATATTCTTTATCAAGGACAGTCCACTGACACCAATAAAGGAACGTTAAAGAACCTCTAAGGGGCGATCTGCAGACCAATAACCGCGCCGAATTAGTCGCAATTTCTCGTGCGATCGACCACGTTCCCATCGACCGCGACATGGAGATCATCAGCGACTCCCGATATTCTCGCGACTGCCTCACACAATGGGTCCCAGGTTGGGAGAAGAAGGGCTGGAAGAATTCTCATGGCAAAGATGTCATGAACAAGGAAATCATACAACCCATCCTGGCGAGGATACGAGAACGAGAAAAGGCTGGTGCGAAGACCAAGATCACCTGGGTCAAGGCCCACGACGTCAATCCAGGCAACATCGCAGCCGATAATTTCGCAAACCAAGCTATGGACAATTGGACTGTCGATCTTGCGTCCGGGAACACATTTGACATGTCAGAAACCTTGCGGACGAAGTACAGGAATCCCAACGATCCACCATCGCCGAAGCAAGAGTATGATGTGGAGGAAATGGAGGGGTATTTGCGCCAGCTTGCAGATGAGGACCTGAATGGACTCAGTGATTATCCTTCAGCTGAAGCCGTTAATCAGCCTTCGATTGACGTCGATCAAGCTGCTGCTGCTTCGGCACAGGACGTCGACGACGTGTTTGCTGACCATCCAGCGTTCGCATCGAGGACCAATGGAGAGGAGAAGGAGACGGAACGGGAAGTCGCATACTAGATACCCGCCAGCTGCCGAATAGACGGTATGCGGTTGGTCTGGAACCAAATGGGCTAACCATGGTACGTGTATGAGAAATGAATCTAACAACAATACTCCTACAACACCTTTCAAATCTCTGCCACTTTCAACCACTTCCACAGATACAATCTTCATATAGCCTTACCTCACACAATCTACCAACTCCTCACCACCACCAACACACCAGACCACAACGCAATGTCTCACGAACCCAATCCCATCGTCCCAACACCTCCCTCACGCCTTTCCACACTGACCTCACATCTCTCCACCTTCCTCTCCGAAGCAGCATACTACTTCTCCTGGTACATTGTCCTCGCCATCGTTTTGAAAATGCTCCTCGTCAGCATTGCCGAGGTTATCTACCGCCTTCGCTATTGCGCGCCACAAGGCTTCCTTTGGAGAGCGTGCGGGGTGCCTCTTCTAGGATTATTCTTCGAATGGGTTTTGAAATATGTATGTGCCACGGTATTTTGGTGGATGCTGGAGATTGCCTGGGAGGAATGGTAGTGAGTGGTGGTAGTTGTGAGGAACTGGGTTCGAAGCTTTGGGGTTCGCATGCCATGCGCTATGCTATGCTATCATCTTGGGTTATTTGGAGGGAAACTCAATGCGGGTAGTACGAGTGGGTCGGTGTACGCGGGTCCGGAGGGAGGTAAGAGGACGCCTTTCATGTTCAAGCATCCGTACACTACGGCGATGGCACGGGTAGTTGATGGATGTACGGGCTAAGCACTCCAAGCATTACACGCCAAGTTCGGAAGACGGCATTGGCGTGCAAATAGGAACAGATGTACACACCGGATCCCATTTCCGATTCATTCGCCACAGACTAGTCATGTGTGCCTGCACTCGGAAGAAACGGCTACTAACACTAATTAGGCCACCCACCATCATCATCATTGTCTATAATAATGACCTGTCTTCGCCCCGCTCTATCCACCTCTCAACTTGAAACCCATGGCCTGGGACACCATCCACGCCGCCCGCAACTGGATGCTCAACATCATCCCTATCCTCACCAGTTGCCTCGAAGGCGTAAATCAAGGCCTTGTAACATACATCCTCTTCACTGCGACCGCGAACCGCATCGAGCTCCGACGCTTCAACATGATAGACAGTCTCTTCCAAGAACTGCCTGATCTAGCTACCATCGACCCTCACGCCGCCTCCATCTCCACCTCCAACAACACCACCATACCCACCACCACCGCCATCAACAAATGGCTGCGCTACTCCCGTATCATGCGCTATTGCTGCGTTGCGCAAATCGTGTTACAAACATTCATCTTCGTCTCGAGCTACATGAGTAAGGGTCTGACGTGGCTCAATGTGTCGCAGGCTGCGTGCTTCAGTGCGAGCTGTGGATGTTTGTGGTGGAGTGCGGTGAGGGACGAGAAGAAGATGCTGAGCTTGTTGGAGAATGGGGGGAGGGGGGATGTTGAGACGGGGGTGGGGGCTTGGGAGGGGGAAGGGAGGGATGAGAAGGTAGGGAAGGGGGATGAGAAGGTGGGGTTGTTGGATGAGAAGAAAGAGGTGGAGGGACATAAGGGACGGGTGGATAAGAAGGAGAAGCAGAACATGGAAGTCAAGGTACAGGAGGTCAGGGAGAGATCTGAGAATTAAGCTGCGACTATGTCTCTCCCTCCATCACGGGATACTAGGCGCCTTCCGTTCCACAGCCCTAACAAAGTCACAGCTTGGAGTATCTCTTCCCTCTCATTAGCGTACATTTGGTCCTGTCCGGCAACTACATCGCCTTGAAGCTAGTGGCACTTTGTTCATGACCAGTATCAATTGTTTGTGTATCAAAGCGTCTTACACTGTACAACAAGGCGCGTAAGTGCACGCTAATTGCGCAATCTGCTTAAAGTTTGGCAAACATCTTTTCTCAGATAAAGAAAGGGCTTACAAGCTCAGCGCTATGACATTCCCTAAACTAAGCGGCATATTATCTAACTTCGTTCCAAAACCTCCATACCTGCTCTCAACCTTTACATACGTCCCGCAACGCCATCTCTCAACACCCGCCACTACGAGTCCGCAATGTGCCATGCATTTAGGAGCTTTCTCTCAACAATCTTCTGGTACTTGGTTCTCGCGATCGCAATCATAGCCTTAATTCACACACTTGTCGCCATCATCGCCCTCTGCGCGTATGCATTCAGAGTCGAAGGCGGCGTATGGCTAGTTCTTTTCTTTGCTTTCGTGGTTCTTTGCGCGATCTTCGGTATGATATTTTTCCTGTTCTTGTGCGGTATAGACGTATTGGGGATTGATGAGGCTATGCCGTGGGTGGACTGAGTTGGCTCCCAAGGTTGGCAGCAGGTGGGCTTTTGGTAGCGAAGCCACGTGGAATTCGACTGCGCCCTGCGCGAAAATGAGAAAGATTTCTTGCCCATGGTTAGGATTACGAGAAACTTTGGTTGCACACTGCGGTTTCTAGGCTTCTCCCTGAGTAAGTTCTTTATAGCTTGCTTCAACTGCTAAGGAAGCATCTTCTCTTCTCATCATACATCCGCACCCTCCACATCAACTATCCAGACAGAAAGCATTTCAAGATGATGTCTACAGCAGCAAAGTTCGTGCTCCTTTCCACACTGGCAGGTGGCATCGTCGCGACTTCCTCCCCAACGGCAACTGCTCTCGGCACTCGTGGACCTGCGTCCGACTCAACATCCATTCCAACAATTTCCACATCTTCTTCCACCTACAAGATACCTTTCAAAACTGGTCACGGCCCGGTCGTAATCTCAACTTCAGTCCCTGCATTGACACTGCATGATCCCAAACTCAGCACACCAACGGTTATATCTTCACCAACAAATGAACCAGCGTCATAGTGCGTGAACCCCCTCTTATGCTAAAACCTCCCCTAATTTCATCGCTAACAGCCACAGTCACAGCATCTGGTCCGAAAACGAGCACCAACCCGCACGCACATTTCGCCCCCACAATCCCGGCGAATTCAGCCCAGGTGGAATTGAAGGCAGGACCATCGACACCATTTACGACACCGACTGTCATGGAGACGGTGACGATGCCTACATCTACTTCACCATCGCATACACCAACGGCACAATCGCCTACGACCCGCGCGGCCGACCCGGCCTCTTCTCCTTCAGAACCCCATGGTACATCTCATACCCAAAAACGCTGCGAAAAGCAATCTTCAACGATCCGACCCCATATCGATCCGAACAAAAGTCCGAGGACTGTAAGCATGGCCACTGCTGCAGCGAGGTCCTGCCGGGGTTGCTGTATAACGACGAGCCCGTTAGATTGAAGCGCGTTAAGAATCCGAAGACGCTGCGAATGTCATCAAAGACGTTCGATATCGATCGGGACTACTTTGCGCTCGGCGAGTGTCACTACGACGATAGCCTACGCGATATCTGGAGGATGGGTGTGTATCTTGGTCGTATCGGATACTATATCCACGGCGCCAACATCCCACCTGCTGTCATTGACTATGTGGAGGACAGGGTACGAACGACGTATCCGACGCTGGAGATCTGTCTGATACTTTGGGGGACACTTGGTGCTATTCCGACTCTCATATTGGTCTTAATCCTCCTAGTCTATATAGTGATTGTGGCAGCTGCGTTGCACCATAATGTGCCACAGATGTGGGCTTCTGCTCAACGTAGCCGTGAGGCTATGTGGAAAGCTATCATCATGGCGCCGGGTAAGGGATGGGATGCGATGAAGGGACGTTGGAAGAGGGGATTCAGGCGCCAGAGGAGTGTAGTCGCGCCACCGAATACGGTGCAGTCGACGGCGGATGGCCAGCTGCCGACTTACGAACTTCCCGAGTGGACACCTTCGGAACTTGTAAGGCCGCCGAGTTATCGTACGTATGATGGTGGTTGCGAGGGGTTCAATGCTGTCTGAGAGGTCTGGAGAAATGGGAAAATTAGAGATGGGTATGGTGAATTGGAGAGAGATATACTGGACAGCATAAGAACATACATGAATTGAGATCTTTGCCCCATTTTCTGCACCATGCCGTACACAACTCACCACACCACACCCTTCACGCATGCCCATCACCCCACCACCTCCCCAACAACCCTAACCTTAATCCCCTCACTCCCCAAATCCGGCATCCCCAAAAAACAATCATTACTCGTCAACACATCCCTCCCCTCCACCGTATCAAACACCTCCATCCGAAACCTCCGCCAAATCATCGCAAGCCCCGTATACAACTCCGACGTAGCCAGATTCATGCCTAGGCAATTGCGACTGCCGCGCCCGAAAGCAAAGAGGTAGCGGGTGAGTTTGGGGTTTTGTATCCACCGCTCCGGACGGAAGGCGAAAGGGTCGGGGTAGATGGCAGGGTCGGTGTGGAGGAGGTAGGAGGATTGCATGATGGGGGTGCCGCGGGGGAGGGTGTAGGGGCCGTATGTAAGGGATTCGCCCGTGGGGATGCGGGGTTGGCGGGAGGAGACGCCGTGGGCGGTACGGAGGCCTTCGTTTATTACTGCGGTCTGGGGAGTTGGTTAATTAGTTTGCGGGTGGGATATGGGGTTTGATCTTACCAGGTATGGCAGAGCCTCTAGTTGGGGGAGCGAGACTTCGTGATCTGCCGTGGGCATCACGGTCTTCAGCTCTTGTCTCAACTTCTCTCCAACTTCCGAGTTTTTGATCAAGTAATAAGTAGTAACCGCCAAAGTCCTTGCCGTCGTCTCCGTCCCCGCACCAAGGATAACACTAGCATCCGCCGTCAACCGCTTCGGATGTTTCTCTTTCTCGGGAAGTTTGCAACCAACATCATCCCGTATATCATGGAATATCGTGCGCCTCAGGTTCTTCGTATCGCCATCGCCGTCCTCAAAGTTCATAATGCGTTCGATCCTGCCTAGCGTCCTGAGACTGAAAGTGTTCACTGTGGCCACGCCGGGGCTTAGTTTCTCGACGACTTTTGGCGGAAGATCGAGCATGAAGTTCATGATAGTAGGGAATTGGCGCGCAAAAGGCTCGATCTGAATCCCGTCGTGCATAACCTTGAGCCAGATTTTAGCGTAATCGTCGTGGTCTAGGGCTTTGATCGATTCGCCGAAACAGTACTCGGAGATGGTGTCCATGGTGAAAGCGGCGTATGCGTCGTTGAGGTTCACGACACCGGCTTTGGGGCCTTCCTTCTCAAGTTCGCCGGCGAAACGACCCATAAGCTTCTTGGTGTTGTTTACGACGAGTTCTTCGAGAGCTTGGACCGAGCGCTTGCTGAAGAAAGGCGCTATTGCAGTTCGTCGCAACTTGTGCAAGTCATGGTCTATGGTGTCTAGTATTGCGCCTTCCCAAGACTTTGCACCGGTGTGAAACGACCAACTACAACGGTCACGCTTGTGGTTCATGCCGGATGCGTAGATCGTGTCGAAGTAGTCTGCATCATGGATATGGACCTGAAGAGGATTGATCCGTATGATAGGCCCTGTTGCTGCTGTCAGAGCCGTAATGCAGACCACAATGTCCATGGCGCACCGTATTCTTCATGTAGCTGCTTGATCTTCCACAAGTACTGGAATCTGTGCGGATAGATCTCATAGTAGAACTCATACCAAAATGTGAACGCGGCCAGCTACGTAGCGTCAGTCCAGCCTTTAAGTCTTTCCTAGAACGCGTTGTCTCCTGGCACGTACCTTTGGCCCAGGGATGTTTGCTAAAGGATGGAAATACACCCTGTACACGCCAACGGCAAGCCAGTACAGTATCCATATTCCAATCACAGATGCAGCGAACTCTTTCGATGCGCTACCACGTATGAGATCCCAGAGGCGGTCCATGGTAAGTGCGGTGGATGATGTGCGGGGATCGCATCTTCCACGCGAGGGGGCCTCGGCAAGTAATATGCACACACGCTAGACTTCGCGCAGGTAACGTGAGACAACAACATAGTTTATCGGAACGCCCGCCAATAACAGTGTCAGCATGTTCCACAGGGCGGAATATGCAAGGGCGCCAAGAGCATGTAAACCGCTAGCGCTTATCACAACGCTGATACGCTGTGCAGACCGCATGAGCCTGTTGCACTAGTGATTGCGACCAAGATGACTGATTGGAGGTCACAAATAGGTTTCATACTGACCAATAGCATAGCTCCGCGTTGCTGGGTAATCGGATACCAGGTGGTGTTGGAGTTGTACCAGATAAAGGTAGCGGGAAGCCTTGTACTGCCCTCACGTGCTGCAGATTTCCAACCACCGCAGACTTTCCGCGGCGCTCTTGAAATGAGACTTGACATCCTTCGTAGTGCTATGACACCTTCGCGACTCATATCCCAGAAGTCCGCTTTCAAGATGAATTTCGAACGCCAAAAAAGTTGTTAGACTTGAAGTCTCTGTAATTCGATGGCCATAAAACGGGCATCATCCTCCTTTCATTTGTCTTTGGCACTAGGTGTGCCGTCAGATGGTCCCATACCACCCCTGGTCGAAGCACTACGTAAGCACTGATGTCACGTTCGTACGCGCTGTTTACCTCATAGGGCGGTGTATGGATAACTACGTGAGATTTCCGATGAGTTCTGTCCTGAAAGTCCTCTTTCAATATGCGGTACTACGAAGATGTAGACAGATAGGTACTTACGACAAATATATGGACACTTTCAACAAGGCTTTCGCCTGTATGTTCAAGATAGACGGTGCATATTGGGCGAGGACTTGACTGAAGGTAGCGAGTTCCGTGTACGATTTCGATAGTGGATTTCAAGCTTAGCGTTGGCGGTATGCTCGCTCCAGTTTCAGGCGATGCCCTCGGATAACAGCAACGCTGTCGATGAGAGTCCAAATGCTGTAGTCGAGGGTAAGTCGCACAGAGAGCCGTGCCCAACCCGTTTATCATCAAGATATCATTCTCGATCATGCCAGCGGTTGGGCGCATAACTGCCTCTTTCTTCATCATCCATCGCACAAGGCCCAGGAGATAATCGTCGGCAGCCGTCGATCCAACCGAGAGATCATCCTCGAACCATTCGACGATTTTATCAAGATTCGACTGAAATGACTTATCGTGCGATTGCCGGAGTTTCTGGCTAAGGTCCAAAGTATGTCCCATATACAATGTAATAAGTTCGAACAATATGCAACCCAGGGAGAATATATCTGCAGAGCGCCCGCTAGGTGCGAAACTCGCGACTTCCAGCGCGAAATACTTTGGTGTACCTCGTTCTCCATTTTCTGAAACACTTCCAGTTATAACCGAGAAGTCTGTTGCTGTACTAAAGTCTGTCAACCACAGTCCGTCCATAGAAAGCAGAATGTTGGCAGGCTTCAAGTCTTTATGCTTAATGTTGGACGCATGAAGGTATGCCACTGCACTTGCTATGCAGATAATCGTTCGTTTTAGAAAGGCTGTCGCTGGGGAAATTGGTGTAGCATGACCTCGAGTTGGAAGTGCGAGTGCGCGGAGTCTTGCTTTGCGATCGGCGTCGTGATCGGTTTGCTCTTCTAGTGGCTCGTCTTGATCCTGGGAGCGAGAGGGCTTTTGCTTCATCAACCAATCCACATCCTCGAGGAGAGTCGCGAGATCGCAGGTCGCAACAGGCCACAATAGCAACCCGAGGAATGGGCCGTGGGTATATGTTCCTACTAGCCGGATGATATGGCGATGCGAAAGTTTCTTGATTATCTCAATCTCGTGCAACTCTCTTTCACCTATCTTGCGACGACAATATTTGCGCTTCCAGGCGAGCTTGATGCCATTGCAACTGGTCTCGTATACGCCGCCGTGCACCCCATGTCCGAGGAACTCGTCCTGTGTGAGAGGAAGTACCTCAGACTTGTCGTAATCCACGTGTGATGTGCCGCGACCTGACCAGTCCAATGGTACACCATCGATGTATTCGCAGGGTGGCTGATCAGGGGTGTTTGATGTACCGGACGACGACGAGCGAAGTCGGCTGGAGATGTTAAAGTTCGAGACGCGTTGAGACATGGGGGTGGTATGAGACCACAGTGTTTGTAGAAAGTGACAGGTCGTAAAACTTGATCAGGCTGTAGGCATCTCTTTTTGGCTTCGCAACGTGTGCTGACTTTCGACTGCGGGGTGCTCTAAGCCACATCATGCAAGCTGGGGTTAGCGATACCCAACCAACCATTTGCCTCATCCGCCTCATCTGCATCAGCTATATGCACTGCCGAAGGACTTCAGAAGAGAGCTCATGTTGCGCCTGTGTTGTCCAACTCGGCGCGTAAGTGAATTGGCCAGCAAAAAAGGCAGAACAAAAAGGATTTTTAAAAGCTGAAACTGAGGATTGAACTCAGGATCTTCGCATATCGTACGACATACGAGTGCGACGCCTTACCACTTGGCCATTCCAGCCGAGTTATTACCGAGCGTAGATGAATAAACCATATGTAGACTCGTTGCGGGCGAGGAGAAGGGTTCAGCGCCTGTGGGACCGACATTTGCGGCGAGTGAAGGTACAAACGCTTTAGGGACAGCTAGCGAAGTCGATCTTCTCGGTGGAAATCACCTACTTGCGGATACCCGCCTTATCCACATTACTGATTAATGCGTCCCTCCACTCTTGATCCTTCAGTATACTCCGCACCCTAGCTTCCAACCATTCGGTATTCCCCCAGAAGCCCCAGCTGGCCTGAAAGCGGAGCCAGTCTACGAGCGCCGTCTCCCAATGTCGCACGAAGATCGACCAGTTGTACTCTTGTTTGCCAGTCTCTCTCAGCCGTTCCCAATATCGTTGCAACAGCTGCTTCTCGCCTTCTTGCATGGGTAGCTCCCGCGGGATATGCGAGTCGGCAACGAGCATGCTTAGCGGAACGGAGCATGTGAAGAGCTTGGCGAGATCGCAGACGCCCAGGCCAAGACCAGTGTATTGGAAGTCGTAGAAGGCGACCTCTTCACCGGACTTGCTGGTGAACATGTTTTCAGACTTGACATCACCATGGATCAGAGTTTGGTATGCTTCGATTGGTGACCGGCCGGTAGCCTTCGGTGTGAGGAACGCTGCCGCTATCTCAGAGATGGAGAGGTCTTCGCCGTCAACCCAGTCCGTGAGTGGCTCATTCCACTCGGCGTCGTAATCCTTCGCCAGAGTATTGTACTCCTTGCGACGCGTCGCAAGATAGGTATATCCGCCATTGAGCCACACCGATTTGTTCGACGAGGCTTGTCCATAACGTTGTACTTCCTCGAGCGGTGGTAGGACCAGAGACGCGGAGTCTAGGGACTTGACGCGGGTCCACCAGAAGCCATGAAAGCCAGAAAGCCAATCCAGCGCGGCATAAGCCTGGGTCGTCGTCAATACGTTGCGCTTCTCTCCAGCCACAGGGTATTTCTGTTTCAGATCGCTCAATAACATCGCAGTCATCGAGGTGCCATCCGTGTTGTGCTTGTTGATGCTAGCGACGCATTCGGCGACCGGTAAAGTTGCTGGCATTTGAGGAGCGAGGTGGCTATAGAAGTATTGTTCAATCTGATAGCTCAGGATCTTTCTGGTATGGCCTTCGTCGCTGGCCTTCGTCGGTGGGGGGTTTACAAGCTTGAGTACGTAGGATTTCGTCGAATCTGGCGAGCCTATCGGATTAGCGAACACGCGACATATCTCGCCGTAGCCTGCCCATAACGACTGGATGGTTTGCAGAGATTGGAGTTCTAGTCCCTTCTCGGAAAGAAGGGCAGACGCTACTTCGTCTGGTGATACTCGTGCAGGCATCGAATCTGCTGGTTGCCGTGGACGGGCGTATAGAAGCGGCAGTAGGAGGATTGATATACCAGGGACGAGGAAGCAGGCGAAAATCAGCTGCGACCGTGTGATCATCCGTGGAGCGAAGAGATGAAGGTGGGAAGTGTGGAGTCTAGGTGCCTAGTCAAGGGGATTGGCGTTGGTGACCATCAAGTCATGCTGTTGTTGCAAAAGTACGCCGAGGGGTTGAATGACGCGACGCGTCATGCTAGTCATGAGTGGCTGACATAAGCGAGATTTCTGAATCGAGCTCTCCCCGACACACCTGGGCATGCCCCACGACTTATCAGGGTCGATACTGCCCTCCGCACTTCCGGTCATCGCAAACTCGAGAGCCTCCACAACACTAGAATCATGTTTACGGGAACCTGGCACGACATCGCTGGACACGATTGACGAACATCACCGAGTCGACGAGACGCCAGATACACTCAAAATGGGCCATTCTGAATGACCAAACTCATGCATTGGTATCTACTACGGAAAAGCGAACAAGGGTTGATAAAGCTCTAGTCGCGTCTACAACAAGTACTGGAAGTAGATGTTCTCCTTGTCTGTCATGTCTTGCAGACCGTTCTCTCCGTGGACCTCAGCACCAGCCTCATGGAAATGACCACTCATCGAATAATCGATGGGGTTCCTGGGAAGGCCGGCCGCCTCACGCTGATCGCACTTCTTCTTCTGCATCCAGGTGATAAGGACGACTTGAGCGACAACGACACCCCAGAGGATGCACCAGATTATCAAGATGCCCTTGAGAGCATTGACCTAAAAGCGGAGTGTTAGCGATGAGCTCGCGGCTGAGTATATGACAGGGATAAGATGCTTACGTATTGCGGTTGGAACTTCGAATCGAAGATGTACGGGGTAATGATGTTGCCTACGGAGTTTCCGGCGTTGAAAGAGGTGTAGTAGATGGCCTTCTTGGTTTGTCCGGCGCAGTTAGAGCCCATCCAGGAGATGAGCAGAGGGTTAATGGCGTACACGAAGGCAATCAGATAATAACCTGCGAGCAGACCACCCTTGTTATCCGGAGTCTTCGGAAGCGCAACCAAAAGAGCAACACCAACAATGACGATGGTAACCAAGCCGAGGAAGAATGGCGACTTGCGCTTGAAACGGTATGCGAGCCACGATGCACCAAGAATGGAAACGACCTGAAGCGCTCCGAAAGGCATGTTCAGCAAGACAGCTTCGTCTGAGCTGAATCCAGCCAGGTTCTTCAGGATGATGGAGCCGAAGACCGAAGAGACCGACGCACCAGCATTGACAGCGATGACCATTATCATGTACAGCCAGTACTTGGGCTCACTCAAGGCCTCGGCGACATGCGACCAGTTGAACTTGTGCGAGACGATACCCTGTTGATTCGCCTTCACTCGGTCAACAGCCTTCAAGCGATCCTCCGGTGTCAGGAATCGAGCCTCGCCTGGGCTATCGTGGGCCCACCAGTAGGTGATAAGACCAATTACGATAGTCAACAGTCCGAAAAATAGGTACACCATCTGGTAGCGGTACAGCGAGGACGAGTTGATCTGAGCGAAACCGTAAACGATGGGTGAACTGAGAACGGTGCTAAGACCATAGCAGCTGTACCAGCAAGCCACGCGGAATGGCTGCTCGGAACGCCTGTAGAAGGCAATGGTGATCATCGAGAACAGGGGAACGACCATAGCCTCAAAGGCACCGAGGAAGAATCGCGATGCCAGCAGCCCGGCGTAATTCCTAGAACCACCGAGGCCACCGGCAACTGAAATACCCCAGCATGTGATGATGACGGGAAGAACGTGGCGGTATCGCAGTTTGACGAGGATCCACGCGGCCAAAGGCTGCACACCGAGTTGCGCGTAGTATCCGATGTTGCCGATGTTTGAGTAGTCGTTGCCCTTGAGATGGGCATCCTCCTTGAGACCATAGACGGCCGTCAATCCGATGATTCCCTTGTCGGCGGATTGCAGGAAATACACCATGCAAAGGAGCGACAGCATCCAAATGTCCGTCTTTCGCAGAATGCGTTTGCTGTCTGCCTCGGTGCAGATATGAGCCTCGCTTAGGCCAGCCTCTTTGCCCTCCTCATACGCGACGGCGTGGTCAATCGAAGTGTCGGACACATGCTCCATGCCGATGGCGGTCGGCTTCTCGTCCGCGGAAGCCATGTCGCAAGGTCAATGGGTGAAAAGATGGAGAACAGAAGAGATCTGGGGATGAGCTACAGTCTGGGGTACAAGTCTGGGGTAGACGTTTATATGCCTTCGTTAACGCGACGCGAACGACACCAGCGGGACCCGGCCCAACGGCGCAACGGACTAGAATTATCCCTCCAACAGCTTTGCGCGCACTAGAAGGATGCACCGATGCATCCGTGCCTCTGTGAGCTGTGCTGATGCGAGCTTGTTGTAGCCAATAGCCCTGGCAGGAGGTCTTGATAGCAACCGGCTAAATCGATGGGAGGGAAGTGCTCGTGATGCGCCCATCGACCGCGGGAAGTACGAGCTTATGTCTGGATCAACGGCTCGGACTCTAACAGACCGAGAAGGATATGGGCGTGTTTGACGAAGTGAGTAAGGCTCGCGGTGCTTCAATGGTAGACAGGTTTACCCGAGTGGTGCTGGGACGATAGTCGAAGTCTATGGGTATAGTACGCACCGCTCCATCGTACATCAACGAGACTAACCACCTGCCGATCTAGCCATGATCCCGGAAGCGTGGTGGGCGATGAGACGGTCAGAGCTTAGTGCGTGCCCTGATACTGTTGACACTACAAGTTTGTCTAGGGATTACCCAATAGACACTGCGTCTTTTCCCTGGCATCATCGCCTGCATCTACGCTCGACGAACTTTGATGTTCGAGACAAGACTCTATGCAGTGAACAAGACTTTCTTGACCAGACGACAAGCTTTTGGCCAAGAATGAACCAGGTGGCAATCTTGGGATTCTGGAAACGCTACGGCTAGAGTGGTGATTAGCCGCCTTACGTCATCCACTTCAATAATTCCACCAACAATCAATCTATGTTAGCGCCACATGGCCATCTCAACTTTACTCATACAAACATCTTCAAGAGCAATAACATCGTGGACCACGCTATACCAGCAACAAACCGATGGAATGTCGTGATGTTGGATGATCGAGTCGGTTGCCGGTAGTCAGGGCGGAGGAGCCACGACCCCACAAAATGCCTCGGTGCCCGAGCGGCTCCACCAGCATTCCAAGAAATGCGGGGTAAACGTCATAACAACTCGAGACATCGTTGATATTCTGGGGAAACCTTGAAGAAGGTCTATCCACGCGTTGCAAAACCCGCGACCACCACATCAAACACCGACAAAGCCCGATCGCCGCTGCCTCACCAACATGGCCGACCCGAAAACCTCCACTGCGAGTCAGCGCTTGACGCAGATCAAAGATTTTCTCACCATGAATAAGACGGCAACAACCATACCGTGGGATCCAGATAGCACTAAATTTCCGACAAGGAAGGAATTACCTCAGATTCCCGGGGCGCCTCCGGAGGCTGCTTGGGTTTGGGGCGACAGCGACTACGTATGTTCGACCGAAGTCTAATCTAGTTGCGGGCCGAACTGATCAGATGTAGATCGGCCGTCTCAATCTTCTGACGCCTACACGTGTCGCGGCGGCTGCGAGGGAGATACGAACGGGTGAAATCGTACCTGTTAAGTCCGTTTTTTCATGATCCTTCTAATATGTCGTTGCTGACCGCGAGGTAGCCTGCCTCTCAACGTGCCGAACGTTCCCGCGTTTGGTCGTGAGGTGTTTCAGCATGAGATTAAGACGCTGGCTGAGGGCATTGCCTACGACGATGTGTATCATATGAACACCCAGTCTGGCACGCAATGGGATGGCTTCCGACATTTCGCTCATATTCCCAGTGGATCGTTTTACAATGGCGTATGTGTGAAAGCTCTACACGGCGAACGCTGGCTTACACTCATCACAGACGAAAGGAAGCGATATCGCCGGCCCAAACGCAAACCACAAGTGTTCCATCCACCACTGGGCCGAGCACGGGATCGCAGGTCGCGGTATCCTCCTAGACTACCGGGGCTACGCACACAAGAAGGGTATCAACTACGACCCCTACGACTACTACCCCATCTCATGGCAGGACCTGTACCAATGCGGCCAAGACCAGGGAATTGATATTCGCCCCGCGGCTCAAGGCGGTGACATCAAGCCTGGAGATATGCTGTTCATCCGCAGCGGATGGAAGGAGGCGTACGACAGCAAGAGTGATGAAGATCGAAGCAAGGCTGCTCTTCGACATGGTAGCGGTAAGGATGGTGAGGATGGTCAGCGGTATGCTGGTGTGAGCCAGGAAGAAAAGATTTTGGATTGGCTGCATGATAGCTACTTTGCGTCTGTCGCTGGTGATGCACCGGCGTTTGAGGCATGGCCGACACATGAGAGTACGTTTCCTCAAATTTACGTGCGACATCAGACTGACGTTGCTAGACTACCACCTCCACGAGTACATCCTCGCTCTTTGGGGAATGCCGCTGGGCGAAATGCTGGATCTCGAGAAGCTGGCGCAAACGTGCCGCGAGAAGAACAGATGGTTCTTCTTCTTCACCTCTGCGCCTGCTAACTGCCCAGGTACGTTGAATACCCGGATTGATAAGCTCTTGCAATCACTAACAGCATCATAGGCGGGGTAAGCTCACACGTCAACGGCACTGCCATCTTCTGAGCAATTCGAAAACGTCCAAAGACCGCGTTGAAACCATATACATTATCATAAACACCTAGCAATCGAACAACCAATTTCACACATTCTGTCTTGTGTGACCTACACGCGCTCTCTAACCAACACTAGATCGGGCACGTCATATCCAAAAGTGCCAGCTACGCAGTATCAGCCTTATTCAGACTCCCAGATCTCGACTCCGGAATTGATCCGGGGCATGTTCTGCGCTCTCTTCGGCGGAGACTCTCCCCTGAGACGGTCCGTGCGTTCGCGTCTGAGTCTCGCGGCATGGCAGGTGCGCCCAACGCGATTGACTCACTATTCCCTTCGATCTTCACAGCCTGCATCGCGCCGTCAAACAACGAGAATTGAATTTGCTGATTTCTCAAAAGAGCCCCATAGGTCTGGTCGCCTTCGACAGCGCTGTCATTGCGTCCGACGCGTGCGCTTGGCGATGGTGGCTTCGGCGGTGGCTCTCGTGTTGGTGGCGCAAACTTCACCTCATCAACGGACCTATCAGCTTGCGCAGTCCCGAACATGGATGACGACGAGGATTTGGCGTTGAGGTCGTCATTCGCGTCTGTATCGTCTAGTACATCAAGTCCGTCGGAAGGATCTGCCTTGTGCATTTGGTCTGCAGTTCCGATCCGGTCATCGAAAGCAGGCAAAGAAGCATCACTTTCTTCGCGCAGCCTCCTGTGTTGCTCAAGTCTTCGCCCCTCCCAGTCAACCACCAAAATGCCACATTCAATTGAATCTGCAGCGACCTGCTCAGCCTCTCGAGTTGCCTTGTCACGACGGCACTGGTAACGTTGCTGTCTTTTTGCTTCCTCCGGCACGATCCTCCTTTTGTAGCACTCTTCGGGCTTGGCATGCGTATGGTACTGACAGCCCGCCAGCGACGAAGACCGTTCATCATCCGAGAGGCGTCGCATAGCCGTTACGAGCGCTGAACAAACAAAAGGCTGCGGCAAGTCTGACGGGTTGACGTCGCCAGACGCTTCAGCAGCAGTGTCAACCCATCGATCGACTAAAAAGCGGCCTAGAGCTTTCGGCATGTTGTGTCTTTTCTCACCAAATATGTGCGAGATGGTATCGATATCTGGTCGTACGCCCTTCAGTATCTTCTCTTCGAGCAGGTCCATGACGCGGTCAACGAATTCGACATCATCTATCACGTAGCCGTGTATCGCTGCGTTGATCAGCGGCCAGCATGCGATCCATGTATGCTGCGGGTTGATACCGTCGGGGTCGAAGTTGACGTCGCGGTAGCGGGTTGGAATAACGCCAGTGCGTCGCCATATTTGATGCAGTTCTGCCGCGTCAGCGTCGATGTTACGGCGTCTGAGCAGAGTGGTCGAATCGAATTCGGTATCAACGTTGACAGCGGACAACCGGGCTAAGCGCCGTGTCAAGTACCAAGAATCCGGGTTCTGACGGCCATATAGCACGCTGATCATTGACTGTCTCGGTGCATCTACAGCTTTGTTTGGTATTCGCGGTGCCAACTGTACTCGGGGTGTGTTGGATGACTCCTCTTTCACAGGTTCTAACTGCACTGGTCCTTGCACGTCCGTGTCAACATCATCGATGACATCATCGTCACTCCACAGGCTCCCGCCTTCAAGCAGCGTATGATAATCGCTCTTCCTTGTGCGTGCCTCGATGCTTGGTCGACGGCGAAACTTCCGACCCGTATCGCTGATATGGTCGCTTCCATCGAAAATGCGGTCGACGTTCCTAGGCTTCTGGCTTCTTGGACTGGTCGGGACACTGCTACGGGATTGCGATGATTGTGGTGTTCCGTGGTGTAGGTATCCTTCAGTATTGACTCCTGGAAAGCCAGTGGGTATGCGCGGAGGCATGCTGCCGCGCTCGAGCCTTCTTTGGATGTCGCGCTTTTCTGAAGACGACATCTTATCGGTAAAGAGGTTGCCCATGTCAAGGAGTGGAGGATGTCACGATCTTTCAACGGTGCGTACTGGTGCGGTGATCAGTGTCCAACCAGGAAGCAAGGTTTTGTAAGTTGTCAGTATCGAAGGACAAGGTTTGGTCATATCGAGCAGCGTTCGTGTGAAGCGCGCGACTGTTTGTCATCGGCAGTTTCGTCACGTTACTACCAGCAAACGGACGATCACGTTGACCGCTGATGTCACCGCTCGCCTGGTCATGACTGGAAGTGATTCAAAACCGAGTCATGAAGACGACTCACTCATCGCTACCCTTCCATTGTAATCCATAGCGGTATTGCGACAAAGACGCCAAGTATGAAGCCCGCTCATTATGTCTCCAACATCTTCGCGACACCATATCGCTCGATATGTACACAACGCCGTTCCAGAGCGAGGGCGGAACATCTTCAGCTAGGTCGTTCCTGAAGTCGGTAACATTCGTACTCGCTGGTCGGACCACGCTGTCAGAGCATTGCCCTACGGAGCACATCGAAGTCGAATACGCCATAGCCGAACGCTCACCGTACCTTCGCATCTACCTTCCACAGCACGTGCGCGATGATCGACCTTTACTGCCCATTCAGCTCGGCGACGTCGATCCCGCAGGCTTCAAGCTTTACATCGAATGGCTCATTACTGGCGTCGTGGAATTGTCCACCCAAGTATCTCTTCAACTCAACGCCTGTATCGACCTCATATACGCGCACATCGTCGGCTCCGCATTCTCGCAACCGAACTTCCAAGACTACATCATCGACAAGCTAGCTTCTATTCTTGACCCCGCACAAACTTTCGATCAAAAGATTCTTGAAATGCTGTATTTGGAAAAGCACGCGTCCACGTTACTGCGGAAGTTTGTCACGGACAAGATGTTCGCGTATGATAGGAGGATGCTGGGTATGCTGCGGAATTCCGTGGAGGACGTCGTGACGGGGAGTAGTGACGTGAAGGGGTGTGAATACCACATACATGATGACGGAGTGTGTTATAGGCATGGAAGGGCGGGTGGGTTTGAGCAGACGGACAAGGTAAACGTAGTAGAAGGGAAGAAGTGGAGTATTGACGATGATCCGGAACTTAATGCCATGGCAGCGCAATATTTGGGCAAAGCAACGGCCCCTTCGAGAACGGACAGTTCATCAAAAAGTCTCGACACCAAGCATCGTTCATCGACGGAAAAGCGTCAACCGCAGGCAGACAAGCTCGCATCGCAACTCAGAATTCCCTCCTTACATACCATGACCGACCGAGATCTTCATCACCAAGGATCAACCATACGGTCTCTGAATATGCGGAGTCCACGGCCCGCAACGAGATCGTTAACTCCCGATATAGACGTTGACAAGCCCCTACCGCCCACACCAGAGCCCCCTCATGCGCCCAGCACCAAAGATCTAGTTCTCGAATGTCTCGGGCGTCTCCCGCCAGCACCAGAACAAATCTCAACACAAGATCTCCTCGAAGAATGTCTCGAGCGCACGCCGTCAGAATACCTCAGGTCCATGACTCCAACAGACAATGCCGACTTTCAGCGTTCAGTCAAACCATCGAGACGCACACCAACTCCACCACGAGCTTCTTCACATCCATCTCCAACCTCTTCATCTACCTCTCGACCATCGTCACCCTTAGATTTCATACCGCCCTCCCTCCGCCCAGGCACACCCCTGCCATCCACGCACCCAACACGTAACCTAACCTTCGCCCCTCTCCCGACATCACATCGCCAAGCTCCTAAACCGCGGCCTCAAATCCCAAGCGCTAACAAACCACATGGCACCTTCTCATCTCCTGCATACGGTTACCCGTCAACCACTCCAGCACCAAGCCCTTCACCATCCCCATCACCATCCCCATCCCCCTCGCCCTCCCCACCCCCGTTACTCCAGCGCCCATACCACATATCCCCCTCCTCGCCCTCACTCCCACACTTCGCCCCGCTGATAAAACGCAAGCCCGCGCCACCACGCGGAGTAGACTGGCTAGAACAATGGGACAGATTGTTTGAGTTGCAAGGTACACAGGGGTTTGGATTAAGAAGGGCAGAGAAGAGAGAGAGGAGGAGTCGGTTCATGGAGATACTGGGCAGTGTGGGGAGTGGGAGTGTGAAGGTGGATGGGAAACTACGTTGAGCGGGCGTGGGAATGAGTGTTTGGGTGTGTGGGTTGTAGTGTCGAGGCTGTGGGGAAGAGGAAGAGGATGTGGAAACTATGACATCATACTATCGAAGTATCTGTTGGAATAAGCATATAAGACTAAGGAGTCATTATGAAGGAGCCATCTAAGTCTAGTACAGCTCTTTTCTAGTGAAAAGAAAAAGACTGCAGCAAAGGAGTAAATGCAATACATCCTTAGCTAGATACGAGAGCTTAGGCTATGCCTCGCGACGCAGCACAAGTCTTGTCCGGCGAGGTAGCCCTCCTCATAGAAACCAGGCCACAACAACCGCATCACCATCGTACGTGAGGCTATTTTTGTTATCTGATTTCTATGAGGAGAGCTACCTCGCCTGCTGGGGTATACATATGACGTCCATCTAACTATCTAAGCTTTGCCTAAGCCCTTCCCTTCGTCATCGCTTTCCCGCTCAACAGTCGCTTCGACGTGCTCAGTCATCAAATGTTTGATACCCTTCATCGAAAGCACAGCAATGGTCGCGAGCGCAACGAACGGCACTACGCTCCAGTAACCCAGTCTATACGCACGCGCATACGACCAATGGCTTGCGTTCCATGCAGCCGTGATGATAGTTTCGTTCGCACCGGGTACACCGGCACCTCTGAACTTAGACGCCGAACTCCCTTTCATGCCTTTGAGCAGCGCAGGCACAGAAGACTCGGGTAGACCCGCAGCGATAGCGGCAGAGCTGACGTCGCCGGCGAGGTGAGAAGCGACGCGCGAGTTTACAATGGCGTAGATGACGGCGGTGCCGAAAGCGCCACCGATGGCTCGGGCGGAGAAAGCGAGGCCGGTGGCTGTGGAGAGGAAGGCGTGGGGAGCTGTGAATTGGATGCATGCGACTAGGAGTGTGAGGGGGCCTGCGCAGCCGATACCTGTTAGAGCGGTGAAGATAATTTGTTCGGTGGCCCAGCCGGGGCGGATGAATGCGAAGCAGATTGAGGCGATGAACATTATGGCGAAGGTGGCTGCTAGTGGTGTTTCTATCATGATTGTCAGCGGAAGTGCTCTACACGAAGATGGTGATGCTTACTCATGTCTTTGAACTTTGTCGCATACCATGTCACGGCGAGAGATGTAAAGATGGACGCGATTTTGTAGGACAGTTGCCGGATGGCAATATCCCATGCGTTGTCTTCGAATCCAACGTTCAGAATCAGCTGTGGTGTAACGGCATTGATAGCAGAGTAGTAGATCCATCCCTCGATAGCAAAAGCGAAAGTCGACAGCCAGAAGTTAGGCCCAGTGGAGAAGAAGACGTGCGCGACGATGCCATCAGATCGGCCCTTCCATTCTGTACCACATCAGCTTTTGACCCGGAAGTTTTAATGGAATGTTTGTTACCGTAAAGACAGAAGGCAATGAAGAGGACAATGCCAACAACTAGGTTGGCGCATACATGCGGGTTACTCCACGGATACGCGCCACCTGCCCAGTTGAGCGCCAAAAGCATCAAAGTAGCAGCAGCAACGAGAAGGAGGGAGCCGATGGGGTCACAAGCCCACATCCACTCTTTGAAGCTCATCCGCGGATAGTCGGTGCGTTTCTTTGGCCAGTAGAATGCGAAGAGGCCGAGAGATGTGATGCCGTGTAAGCCGACTTGGATCCAGAAGATGTAGCGCCAGCCGGAAGCACTTAGGTTGGTGACCGCACCGGCTGCGAGACTACCGACGCTGTGCAGAGTTAGTACGTGCCAAATACATCGACCTACGCGAGATGTCTACTTACGTTCCGCCCAATACGCCGGCGACGCCTGCAAGTCCGTTCGCCAAGGGCCGGTACTTCAAAGGTAAAATCTCAGAGGGAATCGACTGGACGATGGAGATGGTCGCAAGTGTCGTGCCGATGAGAATACCGCCTCCAATCAACATGGACATGCTCGTAGCTTTGGCGCAGATGATGGAACCAATGCATGCGATCAGTGGAGGTATGGTGGCGAACAACTTGCGGTCCAAGACATCAGAAAGGCGACCGACAGGAGGAGAGAGGACTGATTGCATGAGTAGCGGGCCCTGTAGAATGTCAAAATTTGAAGTCAAAGTTCCGTGCCTGGGGTTCTGTACCTGGATGATCCAGCTTGCAATGGCAGGTTCTCCAAGCTCGCGGATGATGAACGACAGGACTGATCCCGCAGCCACTACAACGAAGACTTGAGACATGACGCTACGTTGTAAGTTAACAAGGTCCTGAAGAACGTTGCGCGCGACTTACGCGAAGCAACAGCAAAAGACGACCATCCAAGACCTCCATGAGAGCTTGACATGATGGACGTCCTCATTGGCTTCCTGGTCGATGGGCACGATGTGGGCGTCGCGACCGTGGGCGGTTTCGATATGGGTAGCTCCCGTCTTGCTGTCCATGACTGCCTAATCCAGACGACAAGTTGGATCGAGAATGAAGACAAGACGGGCGAGGCCTGCATCTCATATCACTACACATATACTGCAGTGGGGCACCATGCCGTGGGCTCTTGGCCGGGGCATTCTGAGCGGCAGCGGGCTTGAGCTACAACGCCATGCATATCGGCAGATTTGGATGCTGGGGTTGAGGTCCTCTCACGACGCGTTTGGATGATGTTTACCGAATCATCGGGAGGAGATGATGCGGGGCCCCGTATTGGGTGAAGATTGGCGCTCCTTCGCTGCAACGTGATGCGGGGAGGCGCGCCCACGAGTCGGGAGCTGCGCGCCTTACCCCGAGACACCCCTTCTCTTTCCTTTTCACCCCTTGGGTGAGGTTCTGTCGCGACATGTTGCTGCTATATGATGAGGGCTGGTGAGGAGCGAGGAGGTGATGTTGGATGAAAGAGGAAGGGTCAACCGGAGTTAAGAAGGCTCGCCCCGCTGGACCCTGAGACTTTTGTTGTCTTTGCGCAGGCTTCACGCTCCCACCGACCAACATCCCACCACCAGCCTCTTAGCCAACGCCTATACGACGCATAGTAGCCTTTTAGCTGCCCTCAGCACTGACTCCCCCGCCAGGCGATGCTATGAGCAGCCCACCGCCTCTCGCAGGCCATCTGGTCCCCCTCCGCACCAAGGACGAGGTGCGCGCCAGCCTGGAGACGCACACCGTCTATGTCGTCGAGGTGCCGGCCAAGTTTGCCAACGTAATCAAGGAGTGAGGCCTTCACTCCTGGGGCACCCGCTTGATCTCTGCTAACCTCGCCTGCTTCCAGTGCCGTGCAAGCAGCGTTGCCCGACTTGAAGACGTCGGAGATCTCTCACCTGCGCCGCGTGGTGCAGTTCAAGTACCTGCCGCCGCACCTGCAGAAACAGTTCTATCCGCCTGCAAGGCTCCCCAGGGGTAACGAAGATGCTCCTGCCTCAGAACTACCATCTTCCCCACTAACACCGGCGACCCCCGCTTCCCTTTCCGCGTCCCCGTCCTCAGTCGATGCTGGCAGTGAGGCTGCTCATGGAGAGGCTGATGCTAAAGATTTTGATCTAGTCCGCTACTTCCTGCTGTGTCCCACGCGCCATATGCCGCACGCCACCCTTACGGCTCTCATACGGACCTGCCCGCCTTTCGATGGCCCCAAGACTGCGCTCCCTCGGATCCTCTACGTAACCGTGCCGGCCCTGGCGCCCATATCCCAGCAGCAGGCTGACGACTGGAGCGACAAGTACTGGCCCATCTCGTACAAGAACACCAACCCCTACGGCCCCCATCCGAGCCTCGTACAACGCAACCAGGAGGAGCTACAACCCGAGGCAGGCAACTGGCTGGCTCTCGCCCGAGCGGCCGGCCAGCAGATATCGGATCAGTGTCTGGGTGAGAAGATCGGCGTCGTCGTGGTTGACCGCACCAGGAACCAGCCAGAGATTGTCGCGGTTGCAGGCGACTGCCGCTGGAGGTCTTTCACCGGCACCGCTGAACCGCCCACCGGTACTGGCAATGTCATGGCTCACGCTGTCCACCGCGCCATTGCCATGGTTGCGAAGAAGCGGCTGCGTGCTGCCGGCACCGACCCTGCACTCCTCGACCGCTCCCTCTTCTGCGACAACCCCCTCACCGGTCTCGAGAAGCTATACTACGAAAAGGACAACCTCTCATCCAGCGGCTACCTGTGCGTAGATCTCGACATCTACCTCACCAACGAACCCTGCGTCATGTGCTCCATGGCCATCCTACACTCGCGCTTCCGGCGCTGCATCTTTGGCAAGCGCATGCCTCACACCGGCGGCATAACAGCAGACGGACCAGGCGACTCTTCCTCAGCGGGCAGCGGACTGAAGAAAGGCCTCTTCTGGCGACCGAGCGAGCTCAACTGGAAGTTCCTGGCCTGGGAGTTCAACGAGGAGGGCAAGACTGCGGATACGGACAGTGGCTTCAAGGAGACACTACATGCATAAACGCGTGCCATCACGCTTGACCTGCATTGGATACAAAGCATAGACACGGCGTATTGGATTAACACTGTCGATGGGGATGGGATTATAGGGGATGATTATACCAACATGAGTAACGTGAATACTGGGTTAGGAAGGAAGTATCTGTACGATAGCAAATGGAATGAAACGTTCACATAAGATTTCGCCTGTCACCGCATTCGACATGCGTGACTTTCCTTAATGCGATGGGACCTGCGGTTGCTACAAGCCGCTCGCCATAGATAGCTCACCGTTGTAATGTGCTGGCCTGAATACATAGCGTCCTTGCATGCAGCTGTACCGTCATAGAAAATGATCGTTCAACGAGAGTTCTCATCTTCTTGAAGTGCTGGACCCGCACATCTTGAGTCGCGCTTCGAAACGCTTCGTTACTAGGGTTGCCGATAGCGAGGCCTGGGATTGAATAGCTGCAGAAGCGCATTCTGCGTGTTATAACCTTCTGTTTCAGATGGCTTATTTATTTGTTTGGAGTCTGTTGGTTTTTGCTCATACTAGCATATTTCTATATTGTGTTATTTTAGTTATAAGAGCCGTGATTAAGACTTCACATTGTCTCTTTGATCGATCACGAAATAGTGTTTATGTATTTCGTGTATTCTGTATTACAAGTTTCAGATGAATAGAGTGCGACTTTTACTCAGACTGTGGTCTATTACTGGTTCGGGCTGGTCATTGAGATTGTGCTCTAGTATCGCAACCTTCTATTTAGAAGGTAAAGCTCTTCTTCGGGTCGCTTTGTCACGAGCGCAGCCACATCACGCATAGGGGGTTGAAGAAAATCATTCTAGATGGACGCAGGTAGCTAGTCGGGCTGAACTATTTGCTCAACTGTCAACGGCTGATGAAGCTATATTTGAAGATCCTTAACTGCCTGCTTCAGGAGCAGATGGTGCCTTCTCGTTGATCTTCTTAGCCGTCGACGGGGAATACGACCATAACAAGAGCTAAGTGCTGCCATTACTAACAGGGCCACCAAGTGGGTACTTTAACATTTGCTCTTGGACGTATTCGTCCGACATGTAGTATTGTCTTGGTGCTTTTTTATGCGTGTAGGTCGTTAGTGTATCGTAACGCAGCCCAAGCTTTAGGTCGGCACCGCGTTCGACAAGATACTGTATAATCTTAGGTTTTCCTTCCCAATGGGCGCCTGCTAACGCGGACCGAATGGGAAAGTCTGCTGTGGTGTGATTGATCTCGGCTCCTGCGTCAAGCAAGAGTTTGGCAACATCAATACGATCGAACCGGTACCTACGCCCACATGCTTCCATGAGTGGTGATGCCCCTCGCCAGCCGGTGAGGTTGGGATTCGCACCAGCTTTGAGTAATACTTCAACCATTGCAGTGCCCTGTAGTCGGGACACGGCGTGGATTAAGGCTGGTGCGCAATGGTCCCCGTGCTCATTGACGTCTACCCCAGCCTCAATGAGTAAACTAACCATTTCGACGGACTCGGATTCGACTGCTGTCGCCAGTAGTGTCTTTCGCGACAGGGGTTCCAAGTAACCCTTGAATCCATCTTGCCGCAGAAACCGGTATGTCGCTGACCAGACAGTCGATGACAAGTTAGCGTTGGCGTTGATTAACACCCTTACAACCTCTGTCTGGCCATTTATGATAGCATGATGTAGAGGCGTTGCATTTCTAGCGTCTTTCGAGTCCACCGTGGCACCATGAGCGAGGAGAGCTCTGACAGTGCTGACAGACCCGTTCCTCGACGCGAAGTGCAACGCAGTTGACCCTGGATGGATGGCATCATAATCCTGACTATCGGTATCGTCGAAATTGTCTGTCTTCAAGTCCAGAGAGGAGTCATACTTGAGTAAGAGCTCTACGATAGCTTCGCGTCCGGGTTGTGCAGCAACGATTAGAGGGGTTCGACCTAGCCTATCTCTTGCATGTACATCGAAACCTTGCTGGAGCAGCGCCGCAGTAGTAGCTTCTAGCTGAGACATAACCGCTACATGAAGCCCAGTGACGTGAGGATGTTGAGTCACAACATGTTCTCGTTCGAAGACGTGTTTTGCTGATACCCATGGGTATGTATAGAAGAAACTCTTGATGACATTGGCTTGCCGCGTGAGAAAGCTGACCACTTGTGTCAGACTTGACGGCGCAAGGCGAGCGTGGTCGATCCAATGACGTGCCGAGTATATGTACCATTCACAGTCTTCTGAGGGGTCCAAGTTGTTGAGGTCGGCGTATCGATCTAAAGATAGGTAGGAGACGCAGGTACTTGCTATCATGGCTTGCGCATCCGGAAACCATCGATCCAAGGTGCGCTGAAGGTACTCTTGTGTCGTGTAGTGGACGAGTCGGATGATTCCACAATCCTCGTCTACTGTAACTAAACCAAGACACGAAGCTAACACGTCTTCGATGTCTGGGTAGTTTTCTTGGTCCATATCCGGTTCACCAATCTCCACGGCCAGAGCGTCTCTTAGCGCTTCTGTAGAGACTGATGCTCGGGCGCAGGTAAGAAACGCCAATGCTTGCTTGGCGAGCTCCGCCTGGTCAGGGACTTGGCCGTTGATTCTTTTCACGGCAGAATCATACGCAGAGTCGTAAGCATCAGATCCAGTAGCAAGTTCGTTCAAGGCGAGTTTCACCTTTTTCGCGGATCTTTTCCCGATCAGAGAATCAAGGTGCAACTTGGCTAAGAGAAACCTGACGACTCATTAGTGGATCTAGAACCCTAGGAGGAAGCGACATACATTCCGCGCACTGCCTCAACGATCTTGGACACAACTTCTTCCTGCAAGCTGACATTATCTTGCACAAAACCTGGTAGGCGATATATATTGTCAGAGAGGTATTCTCGCACGTCGTTGCTGTCTGCTTGAATTTCCAGCTCACAGGCTGTTTTGAACTTCTCGGTGATCTCTGGTATGAATCGAGATGTGGCAAGTATGTTGATGTGACCATGCTTTTGCAAGTTCTGGATACTTGACAGCAGCCTTGTGCGGCAGCCTTGAGATGTAGAGCATTCGTCGAGAGCATCTAGTACGATGAATACTCGTGAGTATGTTGCCATTGCTGACCTGAGAGCCTCCGTAGTAGCTTCGATCCGATCCGAAGCCCCTTTTTGTTGTGTGTCGTAAAGACTGGTGACGCACTCTGGTAACGGAACTTGATGTTGGACAAGCTGTTTCAGTAGACCTGATAGTAGGGCTTCTAATGTCTGCTCGTTATGACGCCGGTAGTTGCAGAAAAGATGAGCCAAGCCAACCGTAGGGTCATCATGATAACGCTCCCAAAGATCAGCGTTGATGATTGACGCGAAGACCGTTTTGCCAGCACCTGGAATACCAGGGCAGAACAAGGTACGACTGTCGGTACTGAGCCAGTCTTGGTAGGTCTGTGAGCGCAGCAGCCATTCACCGGTACCTTTTTGCCGCCGACTGATGGCGTCCCGCTGCTCTGAAGCGTGGTCGATGGGTGTGAGCCAGTCAAGGATGCGTTGACGTTTCCTCAAAGCTTCCTCCATATCCTGACGCCCATGCAGCTCCTCGACTCTTCCTCGAACGTCATTTTGGGTCGTTTGGATAGATTCCAGCTCACCGTTGATGCTCCGCAGCGTCAGGTGGGTTTCCCGGATGCTTGAATCCAAAGCACTCTTCAGGTCGGCGAGATGCTTTTCATTGCGCTTTGAGCAAGCGCTAATCTTGACAAGTAACGATGTTGTGGTGTAATTGAGAGCAAGAGTCACCATCGACATCCCAGACTCTATTGCCTCAATCATTTTTTCGACATCCTTCTCTTTGAATGGCCACCGCAGATTCTCACGCAACCCATCTCGTGGGGACAACGCAGCGGCTGCTAGACGCAGTGCATCTTGAAGGTGCGCAAGCGGAGTCGAAAGTAGGTTCAAGATTCTCTCCCATTCCTCGGCATTCTCAGGGTCATTCGTTTCATCTTGCAACTTGTTGAGCAAGCTACTGCAGTCTCGTATCTGTGTACGAAGGCGCTGTTTCTCGTGTTTGGCTCCAGAAACAGCAATGATATACTTGATTACCGTCTCGCACAGTTGGACCACTGCTATGATGCTTGCAGCTGTCTCCATGTGAGCTTTGAATGATGTTCAGTGTACTGCGATCAGTGCGAGGAGGAAGACGAGGTGCGGGGTTCATCGCATCTCAGATCAAGTGAGCATGTGAGGCGAGGCTGTGCCACATTGCTGCTGCAGGCAGCGGACTTGCCGTCCCCCATGGCGATACGCGGGGTGACGTAGAGGCGGCGCTGTCATTCGTTGATCAATCTACGTGCAGATGGATCGGACCTTCTTTGCGGAAGCGAGCGTCGAGTACATTACCTTGTATGCGATATGACGACGGAGGATGTGAGTGGAAGCATGGAGTTGGAAGTCGCGGACGATGCACGTGCGCTCGCGTTCGGCGCCAAGCTAGCGCGACTCCCTCAACCTTCCGCCAGTGGTTACAAACATCCAGAACAACATCGCGACAATGTTGCCCGACGAGATCATCGCCCAGCTAACCGCGGAGTTCCAATGCCGTGATCAGCAAATACACCACCTGGCAGCCCTCTATAGCGTTCGTACACCTCTCAGACTTCAGGGTCATTGTACTAACAGCAACCTAGGCGCATCTCCCCTCTCCACCCTTCCTGAACATCCATGGCCTCACAGCAACTGGCAAATCCTCGATATTGCGCTCCTTCTTCCATCTATCTCGCATACAGCACACGATCATCAACGTTCGCGAATGCATAACCGCGCGGCATCTCCTGGAGCGCATCGTCGCAGCTAGTCTGGATGCACTGGACGAGTTTAACGACGAGAAGATTGATAGGAGACCCTACGCGCGTACAGAGAATCTAAGCGCGCTATGCGTCAACATGGAAAAGCTGTTGACGGGCAGGGGAAAGTTTGTCTTGGTGCTCGATGCGGTGGATAAACTGAGGGAAGGGGGTGGAACTCTGATTGCTGCGCTTGGGAGGCTAGGAGAGATGGTATGTTATGCATCATACAGATCAAGGCATAGGTTACTAATAGTACGAACAGATACCAAACCTCTCCCTCATCCTCACAACGACCCTCCCCCTCACGCCCTCCGTTCTCCACTCATCATCGACCTCCTTCCTGCACTTCCCATCCTACGCGCGCAGCGAACTCCTCACAATTCTCGGCGCCAACCCACCAAAGATCTTCCTCGAACCGCCCTCCCTAGAACAATTCCCAGACTACACACCCGATCTCGCAGCCGAAGACGACCAGTGGCTCTGGGGCCGCTTCATCCAAGCCGTCTACGATTCCCTCGCGAAACACACCGGACGAGATTTGATAAGCTTCAAGAGCTGCGCAATGCGCCTTTGGCGTCCATTCGTCGAGCCTGTGGTATCAGGTCAATTTGGCACGCGCGACTTCTCGCGCTTGATGGTGAACAGACGGCATTTGTTCCAGCTTGAAGACTCAGTCTTGGATCGAATCATCTCGGATACCTCCGAACCCGCCAAAGAGGCAGCACCGGCAGGCATCACACCAGCAACGCCAAGCAAAAAGAAGCCAGCGAACATGACGGCTCACACCCTTCCGTATTTCACGACCCACATCCTCCTCGCCGCCTACCTAGCGTCCTACAACCCCTCGCGTACCGACGTCACATACTTCATGAAGCACACCGACAAGCGGAAGAACAAGCGACGCGCACCCAGCGCTGCGTCTTTCAGCGTCACGGGTAAGCGCACAGGAGCCAAGCATCGGAAGATTAGTCGGCATCTGCTGACGCCCAGCCCGTTCACTCTGGACAGGCTGTTGGCGATATTCCGAGCACTACTCGAAGGCACTGTGCCCCAGGTAGCGGATTTATACACACAGATAGCTACATTGACGAGCATGAGGCTGCTCGTAAGAGCCGGAGGAGCAGGAAGCAACGACGCACTAGAAGGCGGAGGACGATGGCGCGTAAACTTTGGTTGGGAATACGCACGCGCGCTGGGCAGAAGCGTGAATTTGGAAGTAGGCGAATATCTTGTTGGTGGTGTAGACTAGGCCTTCAATTCATTTTGTACACTGCAACACCTGGCCAGGTGTACGCAGGAGCATTATCTAAGAACTACAGCTACACTGCAACATACCCTTGTACTTCGGCACATCACCACAGAACCTCTCTTCCTCCTCTGCGTTCCACTCCCAGCTTTCTTGGAAGGGGTTAAGCGCGAGTTTCATGATCTGAGGTAGGATCTCGCGTTCGTGTTTCTTTTCGACGCGCTCGATGAGTTCGTCTAGGATCCAGGAGCGGGGGATGAACTGTCGGTATCGTTAGCACTGTACCTCTTGCATAGTAGTGGCATGTGACTTACGTTAGGATTAACAGCATCCATAGCAACCTTCCTCTCCGCATCCATCCCCTCCCCCCAATCCTCCTTCACCCTCTGCGACCATTTCTCCAACCACTTCCCAATCCGCTCCCTCCCATCGCTCTCCTGCCTCGGCGCGTCGTTCCTACGGAAGAACCTGCCCGCAACATCTTTCCTCTGATCCTCCGTCTCCACTTCACTCAACTTCACATTCCCCAACCGCCTAAACGCATGATGGAAATCCAGTTCATACATCTGCAGTGTATCCAACAGCTCCGACATCAGATCCTCAAAATCACTCTCCTTCTGCGTTTTGAGTCCGAGACGAAGCGTCATGAGACGGCGGTACTCAGCGAGGAAAACGGCTTTGTACTCTTCGCCTGCGCGGTCGATGGCGGATTCGCCGCATTTGACTATGCCGTCTGCTTCTTCTTCTGTTACGCCTTTTTCGATAAATTGCGCTTCGTCGACTTTGCTGCCCGCGCCCATGAGCTCGCCGAGGGCTTCGCCTAGGCGCACGAGGTTCCACCAGATGATTGTGGGTTGGTTGCGGTAGCTGTAGCGCAGCATGTGGTCGTCGTGGTTGGGCGTGTAGGTGGGGTCGAAGGTGTCGAGGAAAGCGAAGGGACCGAAATCGATGGATAGACCGAGGATGGAGGTGTTGTCTGTGTTTAGCACGCCGTTCATGAAGCCGTAGGCTTGCCATTTTGCGACGGTTTCGGCGTTGCGGCGGAGGATGGCGCGGTAGAGGCGGACGTAGCGGTTTTCTTCGGCTTCGTTCTCGCCTTCGATGGTTTCTTTGGGGACGCCGGTGTGGGTTTGGGAGTGGACTTCTTTGGCTTCGCCGGCGGGGAGCTTGGAGGGGAGCTTGTCCCAGCCGTCGTAGACGTGCTCGGCTGTGTAGTCTGCGATTGTGCGGAGGGTCTTTCGGTCTCCGCGGATGCGTTGGAGGTCGAAAGTGCCGAAGCGAATCCAACTCTGTGCGAATCGCGTGACGATGGCTCCAGGCTCTGTCCGTTCGCGCATGACCTTGCTTCCATTGTTCAGGGTGAGCGCCAGCGCTCTTGTACTGGGGATGCCAATGGCATTGAGGTATTCCGAAACGACGAACTCTCGGATAGAGGAGCGCAGTACCGCGCGGCCGTCAGCGAAGCGGGAGTACGGCGTCCGTCCAGCACCCTTCAATTGGATCTCGTATCGTGTTCCGGTCGCTGGGTTGGTAGACTCGAACAGTGAGATGGCGCGTCCATCTCCAAGTTGGCCTGCCCATTGTCCGAACTGGTAGCCTCCATAGCATTGTGCCCAAGGGTATATTCCAGCCTCTGGGTTTGACTCATCCCATGTCAAGATCTTCTTCCCAGCGACGACTTCCTTGAATTCGTCCGTCTTGGCCTCCTCTTCCTTCAACCCAATATCCTGCATTGCTCGCTGGCTGACAGCTAACAGTTCTGGCTCTCCCTGCGAGTCAGGTCGAACATATGTGTATAGCGCTCCCTTGACCATGCGCGGTCCGAGCATCTGCCGTGGCGCATCGTGCGAGTCTTTCGGTCTGGGGAAGGCGTCATCGGCGGGAAGGTTGGATGTGAAGACGTTCGATTTGGGAAGCGACTGAAGCGTGTGCAGTTCATTGGTCGAGTTGCTCGCCGTCTGTGGGATGTCGAGGTGCGCCATGACTTGATTGAGGCGCATAAAAGTGTGGAAGGGGTTCTTGCAGATGTATTTCGTCGACGATATCGCTTTCCTGGTAGGCTGCAGCGCAGTAGAGATTCGAAGCATGAGCTGCTAAGGGTATCAAGTGGTGTAGGAGGGAGGGGCAATGAGGGGAAGATGGCGGCACATATGGGCGCATCCGATGCTGATCGGAGTGATGTGAACGTTATGGGGCAGTGGCGTCATGCCTCGGACGAGCGGGCTTATCGATAAGGCAGTCGTGAAAACATCAGAACGTCGCGGTGCCTGACTCGCGCGTTTCTCTTCTGAACTAAATCGCGGACGCGTCGACAACTCCGCCAATCAGCACATCCTTCCTCAAGCAACGCATACCTTCACTCCTTGATTTTTGAGACCCACGCTGGCCTCCACACTATCACGGTCGCAGGATGAACGGCCAGCCAATACCTGGCTACTTCTGGGACGCAGAGAAGAAGAAATACTTCAGGATCCAAACCCAAACCGCAGCTCAAGGATCAAATCTCAAGTACTCATCAGCAAACATCAAGAAGACAGAGCGAAAAGAGCGCATCCAGAATGTCGCACTTGCGCGTTCGAACAAGCTTAAGAAGGAGCGGGTCATCAGGCGCAACCCGAACAGCTTTGCTCAGACAAACATCGATAGAGAAATAGGCCTTAGAAGACGGTCACGCTATATACATGGTCTTTGGCCTGACGCATGCGCAGCCGGTATTGAACAACGTCCTGAAAAGGTGCTACCTCCATGTGGACTACGACTCTTTGCCAAAGACCCAGTACATCACACGATATACACAGTCCAAGGTGAGAACAGTGTGCACATGCAGACTGCAGATCGCGGGAGTCCCAGCGTCCCATCAGAGGATCACTATTCCATACCCAAGTCGTCTTCACTTAAGAGTATCTATTCGTGGTATCCACGAGAAGAGGTAACGCGAACGACATCTACAGTCTCCTCGTTGTCCTTTCTACCGGCAACCGGCGCGCTTGCGGTAACGACGTATGGGTCTGATCGACCACCAGAAGTATGGCTCAGCGACCCGGGACGCGATGATCCTGTAAGTCTTACACAAACCTTTTACCCCACGCACATGATCTCTTCGATGATGAAAGGCCATGTTCCATTTCACGTTTGATAGACCGAGTGATTTGAGTTACTCAGCGGCCATGCAGCACAACTCAGAACGAACGAGCTTTTCTACTCACTCCCACACCGTTTCAATAACTTTACAAGACTTTTGCATCTTCCGAAACTCTCACGCTGACCCATAGTGACACAGTACGTAGGGCAAAAATTTACACCGAAAGACTGTTCAGCTATCTGGGGTGCTGCTGCCAGACCAACTACATTCACGGCATCACCAGGTCTCGCAAATAGTGTTGCAGCGACCTGGACCGAGCACCTAGCAGTTGCGGCCTCGAGTTCGATGCTACTTTTCACTCGCTCACAGGGAGGTGCGTGGGACTCTCAAGCTGTAGTAAAGTCACTTGAATCGGATCTTTTGGCCTTGGAGTGGATATCGTATACTACTGTCGCGCTCGGCTGTAGAGACGGAACCATCCGACTATATGACACAAGATCAGGGGGCTCAAGTCACGTCTTGACACATCCCGCGCCCATCTCAAAGCTCAAGCGTGCCGACGACGAGACTAGACTGATATGCTCTGGGCTTAACGACACGCTTTTCCTATACGACATTCGCTCACCTCGCTTATCTCGGAATTCATCGCGAAAGACGTTCAATTACGAAAACCACCACTACAACGAGGAATACTTTCAGAATCTGTATCCGACTCATCGCGATAGTCACAAACGCCGCAAGCTTAACCACAAAGCTTTTAAGAACTGGTCGCAGCCAGTCATGACTTTCGCACACCTGAACAGAGACGAGCTGGAACTAGACATCGATGTATACCCAAGACTCGGACTTCTGGCAGCAGCCCAAGACACAACGGAAGGTACAGTGATACGGATTAGCAACATCTGGACAGGTAAATCTGTCAAGGAGATTGATCCAGGCAGCACGCACCAGGCCAAAATCCGCTCACTCAAATTCATTGAACGCGGCTTTGACGGCAATGTTGACCTTTGGTCGTGTTGGGGTGGTGGGATCGCGAAATTCGGGTGGTCACACAGTAGGGGCCTTTAGCTTTGGAGGCTCACCACCGAGATATCGACATGCTGACCTACCAAGACTTTGAATAGTGTTGATGGATACATTTGCGGGTTTGCCATGGTGCGAGCGACCACTAAACTCACAAGACTGGAGCATGTCCATAGAGCCGCGCCGCGAGAACGCAATCACACTTGCACCGACGTGTGACAGTGCGACACTGAAATCGTTCAGAAACATTTGCTGCAATCATCCGCTGCGTCACAGTGAGCTCCGTCCCATCGCTCCTAGTGGTCACTAACGCACGTGCGTTCTCTGTCGTTTGCTCCTGCCTCGCACCTGCCCCGATTGGATCGCGCGATTCCCTGGTCATCGTGTCGATCTCACAACAATACGCGAAAGCTTTTCTCAGTCAAATACCTCCACCGACAGATTGAATCGTTCTGGAGAGATATTCACAGCGTCGCGGGTGACATTGGGTGAGCGCCTTCACTTTCACCAATTCACCGTCGCTCTCCGAATTACAGATAATCCCCGAACGAGCGCACAACCAAACTTTCCGCACCAACCATCGGCCTTTCCCCCACCAAGGGTTCCAGTATTACACTTGGCACAGAATCATTTCGCAGAGTCCGAAAGCCGCGAAGATAATCATGTCAAACATCGATCTCGAAAAGTGCACCGCCACTTACTCGCCCATCAGAGCCATCCCCAGTACCAACCCCCGCACCTCCAACATCAAGATGTCGTTCCCTATCCTTATTGCGTACATCGGTCTCTACGTCGGAACCTACTACCTCAGTCCCACTGGCCCTGGATCCGAGCACCGCGACGGCGACTCCGGACGTATACCACCTCTGGCAATCGTGCTCACGCTACTCGGTCCTGAACTAATTCAAAAAGCGTTTGTTGTCACGACTGCGATCTCAAAGACAGAGTCTCCATGTTTCGGTTTCGGGTGGCTGGCTTATAGCTTGTCACTCTTGTCGTCAGTCGTGAGTGGTAGTAGTGATCTAATGCCGAAACCGGAGTGCGATGTGCAGGTTTTGGACATGAAGACGGGGAAGAGACGGTTGAATAGGGAGTTTGCTGTTGCAAGGCTGCTCCGCGACCTGCAGTTTCGCTCTGTTTCGTCTAGCATTGATGGCAAGTTTGACCAGGATAGCGATGTCGTTGTGGAGGTCCTCCAGCCCACTGGCATATCCTCCGCTTCCACTTCCCTTAGAACCCTACTCCAGAGCAGCAGCTTGATGACTGCAATCCTCCAATTCTGTCTTGCCGGCGCATTCTGGTTCTACTACGCCGACCTCTCACCCCTTCTGCTACTCAGCATATCGATCTTGCTTATCGAAGCTACAGCCGGCCTACCTGTCTGGACTCAGAAAAACGCTTCCTTTACACACAGTAGTCGCAAAGGCGCATACGCACTCATGCGCGACACCGACTCCCCACCCAGCCACATCTACATCATCCAGCCCTCCCCAACTGCATCCACCAAGGCCGAAAGCACGACCACACATCACGACACATCTACCAACGCCTCAAATCCTTGGATCTCACCCGTTATCCTCATCGCCGGTGCCTTCCTGAGCCAGGCCCTGCTCTACACCCAGCTCTCAGATAACGCAGCCATCGCTATGCTAATTATCATGTTCGTTGGTACGATTAGTAACATTGCTATCGTTGCTATGCCGCGCGTGCCACAGGTCGATGGCGTGAAACTGGAATCTGTTGGTGTGATGAAAGGGGAGGGGAGTGTTGTGGAGGTTTTGAAGGAGGTCGAGGCGAGGTTCGAGGGGTATGGGGATGTGCTACTGAAGCAGTGTTTCCCTGAGATGATCGGGAAATGGGAGGGTGGAATCAAGAAGGAGAGGATGGGGGAGATGGATTAAACACGGTAGAGCGATTCTTGTTTCGCAAGGCCGCAAAGTGCATGTCCGTTTCTGAGCCGTCAGCAGTAGATTCCATCAACCACACACAACGAATCCACAGTCAGCATAACACCTTCAATCATAACATCTTAAATTCACGTCCCCGTCCCCGTCCCCGTCCCCGTCCCCGTCCCCGTCCCCCCTTTCCTCCCCCCTCCTAAAAGCGGTATCCTAACCCTTCCAAACACCATCCCCCCACCCCTCTGCATCTGCGCCACCGCATCCCCCAGCAGCACGCGTATCGCCCCTTCCAGCCTCTTGTCCTTCTTCCTTCGCATCCACACCAGCACTATACCCAATATAAACACATCAACAGCAACATGCTTGAAGCACGCCCACACCCATCTCCACACGCCCCGAAAGAGCTGATAGTGCACTGAATGCGCAAAAAGCCTTCTTGCTTCTAATTGTTCGCGCAGTGCCGCGACTTCAGCCGTCATCTTCATGAGCGATTGCTCAACGCGTTTCCGCCATTTCTGGTCTGCGACTGATTCTTTGGGCGAGCTGTCTTTCGCTGCTGCTGCGGCACCGTTTCCAGCAGCAGGGGCGGCGGGTGTGCTGCCGAAACCGGGTATGGGCATCTGAATCGGTTTACCCAGGACACCCATGCCGCGATTCCGTGGCGCGGGTGTGGGCGTCTGTATAGGTATAGGTTCTGCGCGGATCAACTGCTGCAAATCGGTTTGTACGCCTGCGTCTTCGAGGTCGGGGGCGTTGTCGTCGTTGTCGTCGGGGTAGGATGTGGGGTTATATTGCGAATCTGGAGCGTCGACGAAGACCTCGCCTTCACGCTCGATTTCTGCTTCTTCTTCCTCGAGCTCTTCTTCGGATTGCGACATTGGTGATTTTACGCGGAGGGGCACGGCGCGGCGTTCGGACTCGTTCGGAGGGCGGTCCATGTCGTTGCTGCTGTTCATGGCTGCGCGGCCGCTTTGGCCGAGTTCGTGCTGGGAGTAGCCGGGGGTTATGTGGTCGGAGGTACGTAGCGGCGAGGAGGAGGAGGAGGAGGGCACGTTGGATTTGACTTGGTCCCAGACGAATTCTAGTTCGGCGACTAGTTCTCGGGAGTCGGGCGAGGGGGAGGCGTACTTGTGCATGGTGTCGATGAGGGTGGTGATGTAGCGGCGTTTGGCTTCGGTGCGGGAGAGGCCGTTCTGCTGTTTCCAAGCGTCCCTGGGGATGTTAGGTTCTGTCGTGCATGTATTCCATGATATGGACTTGTATAGTGCTATGCGCCAAGTGACATACCATTTCTCCCGTGCTCGTTGCGACTGGTCATCGTTCCCTCGTGGACATTCCATTATACCGTCGACATCGCCCTCTGTTTTGGTCAGCTCTGGTCGTAGCACAGTCCCCCTCCGCATCATTTCCCTCGAGGCAACGTACCCATGGCCTGCTTATATAGTCCATACAAGCGTAACCTGGTCGCAGACGGCGGTTTCTGCGACCCCGTCCGTATCTTGTTGACGGTATTGAGCGCATGGCTAAAGACTCGATCTATGTGCCTTACTGTCAGCAAAAGTTCCTTCCATCCCATCTCGCGCCAGATAAACCTACCAACCGAGTCCGACATTACGAGCGTGGATATCGCGCCCCCATAGACGGGGAGCGGCGCATTGATTGGTGTGGCGGTGCGTGAGAGTGCCTCAAGAGCAGGCACAAGGTATTCAGCCAGGCAGGAGCAAAAGACAAGGTAAAGTACAGCGGCGCAATGGATGGCGGACGGCGTGCATGATGCGATGACAATGCGGAGCCGTGTGGAGATGGCATTCGTTGTCGCGCGACCCTGGCGCTTTGGCCTCGGCTCTTCCGGAGCGGGCACGCTTGCCATGTGGCAGTGCGGTCGGCCGCCGTTTCACGTGTCAACACACTTTGATGGGATTCACCGCACTTTGTTGTCTTGCTGGTGTACTGTAACATTCTATCGTCTTTTTTTTTACGAATCATATCAAACGCGATAACAGCCTTGTCACTGTTCGTGGCTGAAGCAGGGATCTTGTCGACAGATCGGGCAATGTTTTCCGCACGCGGTTCCTGGACGAGACGAGATACATTCGCGCCGCAAGACTCGCTGACTCCCTGTGGCTCCTATTCACATCTGTCTCCAGTCTGACATTACATCTCACAACAGCGTCTACCAGTTTGCTACCACTGGCTGCACATCGCTCGTGAACGACCACACGCCCTGGGAGTTGACAGCATGAACAATCGCCTTTCTCGCTACATCCTGTCTACGCGTGGTAGTCGCAATCTGAGTCGAGGTTCCCTGGCATGAATATTAGCATCGCCCTTCGAAGACGATTGACGAACTCACCTGTACGCGTGCACCCCGCACGTTCGTGTAGGGTCTACCAACTTCGTCCGTACCAGTCGGATACTCCACAATGACGGAATACGCAGTCGCGCTGGATACCGGCGACCAGCTAACTTGGAAGTCTCCGGCATCATTGCTCCTTCGTAGAGATACGCCTGCAACCTTCGCCGGACGCGAAACACCACCGACAGCGCGTATCTGCGACGTTGTATAGCACCCATTCGACGTGCCGGACGTGGTGTAAAACCGCCATGAGACAGGCGCCTGGCCGTTCTTACAAACACTGCTGAACTCGTGTACAGCCGTGAACGCCGAGTTCCCAGGGTACTTAGTGAGGAAGTTGTTGCCAAGGTAGGGGTAGAAGGTATCGCTGACACCGAAGCTGTCGAGGTCGCGGAAGGGCTTGAGTTCAGCACGGCTGCCATCCGCGTACGTGGCTTCGAATGCCTATTGCACTCCCACGTATCGGTCTTTGTTGAAGGTGAGTTGCGCAGTGCAGCTACCGAGGTTAAAGGCCTTGTAGTTGCTGGGAGCTACCCTGCCGGTATACGGGTAGCTCCACGATGTACTGCATTGTTGGCGCGGTTCATGAGCAAGAGGCGATGCCGTGGTAGTTGTCGCTAGAAGCGTGGAGAGCGCGGCAAGAGAGAGCTTCATGATGGTTCCAACCGAACAAAGTGAAAAACTATGAACACGTCGACTCGGAAAACAAGCACCCTAAATACCACTCCTCCACCCTCCCAATTGACATCACCAGCGGGTCCAATGCACCAAAACTCTACTTATACAACTAGACAAGTCTTGGACACTACATCACCCGCCCACGAGGAGCGCAACCCGCCAATTCATATAGCAGCCAAGACAACGCGTACAGCTTTCAAGAGAATCCAAGGCGGACGGAGACAACACCCATGGGGATATGCGGTTTAGCTGGTGATCATCTGCGGGCCGCGAGAAGCCTAGCTTTCTTGGCGCTGCAGGTCAATCTTCGTATTCGGTCTTGAGGCTTGGGCTTGGCTGGGGTGATCTGCGTTGGGTACATGCAACGACTGAGACAGTTTTTGCTTCGACGTTTCCTGGGTTCGCGCTCGATATTCAGAGTGAATTTCGCGGATATGTTTGACTCTGGGTAGTGCAACAGGTGTAAGCTGGGTGGTATATACGGTGAAATATCGTTATCGGGTTTAGCACAGACTATCACTCGATGATTTCGTTTCACTGATAAGACTTAGTTTTATTCCTCGATACAGATCTAGCAGCTATCCTTTTATCAAGACCAAATTCTAAACCATACCCATATCACTCAGGTCACTCCATCGCCATACATCGCCCATCACAGACGATCATCGAAGACTAAACCTTTGCCTCACGACCACGGTCCCAATTCCACCTCTAAGGACAACCTCTTCCCAGCGTCCTCGCATACCCAAAACCCAGCCTTAAGGACACTTCCACCCACACTTATCCCGGCAGAAGTAGAAGCTCGCCTTGCAAGTCTCAGCACGGCAAGTAGTATCGCAGGTAGCTGGGTTGAACCAGCAGGGCCAAGACTATTATCATTATCTCTCGTATTAGTTTCAACAACTTCCCGCGGGATTAGGGGAAAAGGGTAATCGATACTTACACGAAGGCAGTGCTCGAATTGGTCTTTGCACTGGTCGCAAGTGGGGACTTGGACGGGCGGTAAGGTCTCTTGGGGGAAGGCGATGGGGGCGGCGATGGGGCTGGCGTCGGGGTTGGTTATGGGGGTGGCTGTGGTGAGGGCCGCGAGGGCGAGGATGAGGGGGGTTGTGAAGTGCATTGTTGGTTGGTGGTGTGGAGTTGAGGAGATTGAGTTGGGGGTGGATGAGGAGAAGGGGTTTCTTGGAGCAGCGGATCGAGGGGTTATATACACGCAGGGCTGGAGGAGTCTGGTTAGGCAGCCGGAGGGTTGGATGACCTTTGTGGATTACCTGGGGTACTGACTTGCGTGGCGATGTACGAATGTTGGTAGTGAAAGAATGAGAGGCTTGATACGATCAGTGGGGTGAGGGTGTGAGATTGTTGCACGGGTAGTGAGCTCTTCCACGCGATGTCATGTCAGGGGCGTTGATAATTGTAGTAAGGATGCGTACATGTCCCAACAACCACATAAAAGTCTCGCTCTCCACAACAACCCGCCCCCTCGAACTCCATCCTTGCCATCCAGTCTTAGTCTCATCCCTCCCACAAGAACACCCTCTCTCTAATGGCCTCTAATGGCCTCTCACTAATGGTCTCTCAAACCCACAAACCCCAGCCTAAGGGCACTTCCACCCACAGTGCTCCCTGCACGCAGCGTCATTACGACAAACGTCGTTGTGGCAAGTAATAATACACATCCTCGGATTGATCCAGCAGAGCCAAGTCTTTTTCCATACACATACGATTAGTTCAAATCTCACTGGAAGAGATGGGGAAAGGGGAGGTGTACCTTCTGGCAGTCCTCGAACTCCTTGTTGCACTTGTCGCAGATGGGGTCGCGGGCGACGAGCGGGTTGGCCGAGGTGATGGCGTTGGCGGAGGGGGAGGTGACGGGGTTGGCGGTGGTGAGGGCCGCGAGGGCGAGGATGAGGGGGGTGGTGTACTTCATGTTTGGTGGGGTGGGTGTGGTTTGGTTTGATTTGTGGTTGAGGAGATTGTGTCGATGGTGGATGGAGTTTTTGGGGCAGCGCATCGTGGGTTTATATGCACCTTGGGTGGTGTTCTAGGTAGCCATATTCCAACATGGTAATGAAAGAATGTAGGTGTTGATGCAGATTACCTAGGTAGTGGGTGGAGTAAGGGCGTGGAATTGGCGCGTGGGCGAGGCATTTCACGCGGTCGAAGCACGTTTATGTCAGGGGCGTTAATGGTTGTATTAAGCTTGAGCGCATATCCCAACAAGCTCATGTTGTGTTAATAATTAGCGCATATTCCAACAACCTCATGTAAGGATGGCTTCAAGAATGCAAAACTGCGTGTAACGATTACTACATGGAAGGGAAAAGAAATTACACGTAAGGACGGCTACATGCAAGAATGACGTAACATATAGATGAACACGAGAACTCAGAAGCTCACTGTGCAGCTTCTTACTAAACGGCTAAAGACATCACTAAAAGCAACATGATAATCGGTGGCGATCTTGTTACAACACGAGAAGGCATCCCAACAGTTCACTGGCGGGTCTTCTTGTGCTTTCCGTCATTCACTCGGTTCATTCAAACCTACCCGAGCTCGGGGGCACTCTATAACTCGAATTCAGCCGTTACTCATGTTATTACCCTCGAGGCCTTCAATCGCAATCTTGTCTGGACCTCACGTTGCATGTGGGTCTCGTCAGCTGGCCACGGCAATGATGAATTCACTTTCGACTGTCGGTGACGTACCTACCTAGGTAGGTAGCTGTGGGCACTTCTGGATAAAGTATCAACAGCGCCGATTGCAGATAGGCGGGAGGTTGAGAAAAAGGTGAAGGAAGCTAAGGATTCGTTGCGCTTATCTGAACGCTGCTCGTATTCTCACAGTGGGGAGACATCAGAAAGGTGGTGTGAGGCGAGGAGAGGATGTTCTAGACGCGTCACTTTTGCTCAGGTACATTCACATTCACATCTAGGATTTTAGTACGTGTAAGTGTGCAGTTGTCATTCATCTTTGGGTTAGGTTACCAACGATGTATCTGCCACCAAGTCCTGTCCATGTTCAGTTTCCCATATTCGCAATGATGACAGGCATTCAGCCAAGACAAATTCTCATCCCAGCCTCCATGCTACCCGTTGTCTTGCATGTCTCACTGATTCTCATCCACTGCCGTGATACCCGAGATATATATCCTAATTGGGTTCGGGAAGGGAGCAAGAAGCATGATGGGTGCACTCATCGCCGCAAGCAACTGTCTCGCCTGCAGGTACGTACTTGCAGGTGTCGTTGCGGTCACAGTCGCTCATGCACTTGTACCATCCAAGGAATTTCTGCCCGCGGTCGTCGAGTTTGTCCTTGCAGACGTCCTATTGAAGTTAGTTTCTGGGCTGAGCACCAAAGAATACGGGCTCGGGGCTGTGACGACTTACTTTCTCGCAGTGTTCAAGGCTGTAGATGTAGCACTTCTTGCAGAGAACGGATTCTTCCTTCTTCTCGGGGCCGGCGAGGACGAGGGTGGAGACAGCTGCCATGATGAGGAGGGATAGCTTCATGCTTGCGAGTGGGTTGATGTTGATGGAGTTGTCGTGGTTGACGGAGTTGGTTTCGTGGTGAGGTGGACGTTGGGTGTTTTGAGTGTTGATTGTTGGTGGAGGAGAGAAGGAGAGAGAGGGAGGATGGGCAGGAATATATACCCGTGGGGAGAGCAGAAAGAAGCGGAGCTCTAGGTACCTAGATGGGCAGCTGTGTAACTCGCGGTGAGGGAGCGACGACCCGCGGTGAGTGAGAGATACCTAGATAACGCGCGGTGAGGGAGCGGCAGCTACTTTGCAGCTGCTGGAGTTGCTGCAAAGCCGAGAGTCAAAGGTCTGTACCCAGCCAATCTCTCTCATCTGAGATAGGCCATAGGTGTTGGCAAAGGCGTTGTCAGTAATGGAATCTCTGAGTTCCCGGATAGTGGCGGTTTCGCGCATGGACAGCAGGAGCTTCTTGATCAGAGAAAAGCAGTGACATTACTCTACGAGCCGATGAAGAGAGTAAGACTGAAACATCTCTTCAGTCAGGAATGGCAGTTGCTCGGCGCAACGTAACCCAAGTCTCATATCTTCTGCTTGACCAGCCATCAAAGCGCATCGTCGTCACAACCAGTCTAGCACTTCCATATACCATGAGACTGTCAGCGCAAAGCGTTTCTAAAGTACTTCGCCCCATTCCAGTCTCCGTCCCACCCCGTCGACCTGGTCTCAATTTCCCGCAACGGTTGGATGATCATTGCCCAGGCGGAACGCGGAAGGTGGGTTTTGGGTGCTTAGGTTTCTCAATCCATCCATTACAGTTCAAGTAGTCATACTGGGCACACCAGTTTACACACCAATCGCCAATTGTGCCTGATTTGCACACATAAGTTTGGCACTGCAACGAGCACTCCTCGTTGAATATGAACGAAGGGCAACGATCCTGTGAGTTATGTCGGCAACTGGGTAAGTTTGTGTTGGAACTGGAGGACTTACGGCCATGCATCCGTGATACATTTCATTGCAGGTGTCGCACGAGTGCGAGAATTCGAATTGGCTTTCTGAGGCGAGAGCGGCGGTGCTGAGTGCTGCGATGATGATGGTGGTGATCTTCATGTTGACAAAGATGTGGTAGATGGGTCTTGTGGAGGGTTTGAAGATGGGCCGGGTGGTAGTGTTGGTGTCGAGTTGAAGGGAGGGAAGACGACAATTCGATTTTTGAGTATGCACGCATTATATATGCTGTGTCTCTAGGCGAGCATGCTGGAGTATCTGCATTGGCACTCACACGTAGTGGTAGCGTCATTGGTGCTCAACAAGAACTCGCCGTGGAGCATACATCATTGGTGTGGAGTCTCGTCTCAACAGTTATGAATGCTGGTCTTTGTCCACCTCGTTTGCTGATTACCGTTGGTGCCAGAGTTTCGCGTTCGAGGACCCCATTCGTATCACAGGGACGCTGCTCTCGTGACAACGAAGTGGATCCGCATTTAGTACCACTGTAGATTGCAGTCTGATGGAGATTTATTATTGATGGATGATGACAAGGATACTTCTAATCACCGAGATGTAATCGCAGGAGAGATGTTCTCTTGAGGCAATCGCGCATCCTACCAAACCCAATCGTTACACATCCGCAGTGCCCCTAAGACATCCATAACAATTCGCGAATGGATACCCGATAATCTCTCGTTCTCTGACCAGCCACCCCACGCCCCTACGCATGATGATGCCAATGCGGCTCCCCGAACTTATCGAAAGTCACCTTGCACTGACGCCGAACACACGGACCGTAATGATTCTCCATCAACTCTACGCATTTCGCCTGACTCTCGTAGAACTGAGGGATATCGGTTGGCCTGTCCAATTCCCAGTTATAGCTGTTCACGTATCTCTGTTGGGGGTTGGGTTAGCGATGTACAAGCGTGTGGAAAAGTTGTTGGGGAGAGGAGAAGGTACGTACGTCCATGCATTCGTGATATCTGACACCGCAGTAGAAGCAAGGGGTAGGAATAAACCCTAACCCTCTGGGCATGGCGTCGCTTGAGGGTTCGACATCGCTAGAGGTAGGGACGTCGTACAGGGGAGGGGCGGCGAGGGTTGCGGTGGTGAAGAGAGCGATGAGGGCGAAGGTGAACTTCATCTTGGTGGCTTGTGGTGGCTTGTGGTGTCGATGTTGGGATGTTCTCTTCAATAGCAGATGGATCTGCGGTGAGAGCTATATATCCTTTTGCTAGTTAGTCCACATTGGTGGGCATTACCATCCTTTAACTAACATCCAGGTCATCCACTCGTACTGTGATAACGCAGAGCTAGCAGCGGGCCATTCCCAATTTCTGCAACAAATGGCATTCCATATGCCAAGGCCTTCCGCAGAGGAGACACCACAAGCCTCAAAGACCCGGTCAAATGTAGTCGATCATAGAGGGCGTCGCGGTGACGGATGGTAGATGAGGCGGGTCTCTCCGTCTCAACAGCAATTTTCTCTCGCACCACACGAACTCATGAAGCAGGACAACGGTATAATACCATCGGCGCAAATATGAGTATCTGCGTGTGATGCACAAAGCTGCGGTCGGTTGAGAGGCTCCGACGAATGACATGGATGGCATGGTGGAACTGTGGGGCTGAGCCATGAATCTACAACCAGCCAACACATTACCAGCACAGGCAGCTGAGACGCGAACATAGCAACCTCACAGTAGCGCACGGATTCGAAAAATAACAGCTATGCAGATAGAAATTGATAAGCTAAGTAAGGCAACGCGTTTGACTTGTCTTGAGTTTATAAGAACATGCCTAGGTGGTCTCACAACTCTCTTCCCTACCGACTCTCACTTCCCACCCCTTTGTCGTCTGAAACACGACTTGTGATCCTCAGCATTATCAAACAACATTTGGGTGAACTCCACAGCCTCTGAATCAACATGTGTTCGCTGGCGCGTCTTATCAGACACGACCCATACACCCTCTCTAGTCTAGACCCTGAGACCCCACCGGCGGTTCCACTTCGAACAAGACTTCATGGGGTATACCCGCTCGACCCTATTTCCATTTGCCCCAACCAATAGTCGGTCCAGAAAACCCACGATGTAAAGACGGGGGTGTAAAAACCCGGCCGACGCTCTTCAGTTTGGTGCTGGAATAGGCGTGGGTCGCTAAAGTGGGTCCAGCTAGTCACCGGGTACGACGCGAATATGGCGTTGAGGTCTGCGCTTCTTTTCTGTGGCCTGAACGCCACATCAACCATGCTCCCAATGGAGGTTTCATGACGAGCCATCCTTGTCCATAGGCGGGCTATAACCGCCCATATTGGTGTCTTCATCGTCGACGACAGGTTCGTTGTTCACAGCTACAGTGGGAGCTCCAGGAGCTGGGACACTCGTTTGCGCAGCGTCGACCCATTCTTGTTGCTGATAGGATTGCTGAAGTTTCTCCTAGTCGCGACCGTAAATGCTGTCAACATCGCTATCGTAGTCGTTGACGTCATCGTCTCCGGGAGTTTGCAAGGTCTGATCTCCAACCGCATCTTCATCTTGCCCTGCGGGCCTACCTGGATGTGTTACCGGACTAAGCTGTGGCAATGGCTTCTGTGGTACACTCAATCCAGAAAGAGGTAGTAACTGGGCCCGGAAGTCCGACGCTGACTTCGGAGTATATCCCGCCGCAGGCTGTGTCGGGTCGTAAGCTGGTGGAGTAGTCGATGGATTACTGGACTTCATGCCTGCCGAAGGCTGCATGGGCATGTACGTGGGCGAGGTGACCGGGGAGATTGTGGTCGCTGTGCCTGATGTAGGCTGCGCACGATGGCGGGCGGATGCCGGTTTGAGCAAGCTTCTTGCATTCGATAGTGCAGTGTCGGGCAGCTTCATGGCTGGGTAGCCTGGACTCCGGGGAGGCGGTGTTGCATTACCGCTTTGACCGCGTGGTGTAGTAGGGTTGCTGAAACTCGGTACACCTGCATAAGGAGACGTGCCGTTCATCTCACGCAAGGTGACTGGGTTATACGAGCGTGCGTAACCTCCGGGTGCGAAACCACCTGCTAGATGTGAAGGCGGTGGCGGCTTGTAATACGAAGATGGGGATGTAGGATTCGAGGTGAAAATCGACGGCGTTTTGAGTGTCTTTTGTGTAGTCGGACGAGTCGGAAAACCAGAACTAGCGACCGAAGATGGTTGCGCCGGCGATGGAGTTGTCGATGTGGTGTTGGCCTCCTTCAGATTCTGGAAAACCGGAAGGTCCAAGACCTTTTCCACATCGTTCTTCTCAAAACGGGCTTCTCCCTCAGTATCAAATGAGACTGGACCTCTGAAGCGGCTCTTCTTCGGAGTCACAGCTCGTGCACCTGAGCTCTCTTTCTGAGAAGTCGCTGGCCCATCTGGCGATTTCTGCGGCGCTTCCGAATCTGAATCTGAATCATCAGAAACCTCCCGGGCTCTTCTCTTAGATGCTTTGTTCAGTTCATCCACTTGATCCTTTTCCACTTCCTTGGCAAGCTTGTCCAGTTCATCGTCATCGAGTTCACCCGACAACGCGCTACCGTCGTCAGAACCAGCAGGGGAAGGATCACCTCGAGGTTCAGCACCTTCAGCATCTGGATCAAACCATGCCATCAGCTCTTGTGCATCCTTGTAGTCGTCGTGGCTTTCTCCTCGCATTTCGTACGTGTCCATGGGAACTTCCCGAAAGATCTGACCTTGTCGACCGGTCAGTTCGTCTAGCGACTTCATGTCGGCTGCTCGGTATTCCGCATGTTCGGGATTCTCCACGATTCTGTGGTCCTCCCATAGTTGTACTAGGCGTGTTCTTGGTCTGATACTTGTGAACTCATCTGGGTGTTTGTATTCATGTTCAGCGTTATCTGGAGCTTTGTTGAAGTCACTGTCCCATACTCGTTGAGTTCCCAAATCTGGCGAGACTTGTGCTTTGTCGCTGTTGTCAGACTGATCATTGTCGAGATTGACATTCGAAAGGCCTGCGATGAGTTCCTCATGGTCTTGAGCAACTCCATAGTCTTCAAGGCTCAAGTCGTCTCCATGGGTTGGTGGCGGTGAAGCTACATCATCTTGTGTCGGCTCCTCATCTTCTTCCTGTTCAGCTTGCGTAGCATCCCCAAATGCGGCACCCCAGTTCACGTTTGAGAATGAGAATGGGTCAAACGCATCTGGCGCATCCTTAGGAGGCCCAGGAACAATGACCGAAGGCTGCTGGTTCGGTGAAGAATATTCATCGCCGGCATTCCCGAGGAGATCATCGAAACGTTCCCCGTCTGTCGGGTACTGTTGAGGTTCAGACATGGGAGGTGGAATCTCGATAGGCCCATTCTGTGCCTCATACGCATCAATATCAGCGAATATGTTTTGTTCTGCCATTTCACCGTATTGCTCATCCTCAGGAGACAGATACAGACTGGTTGGCAGTTCGGTGTGTTGTTCTAGTCCCTCGAGAGGCACCAGTTGTCTTCGCATGTCATCAGTGGTGGTGGTTGGCGCTTGCTCATTATCGAAGCTAGAGTTGGCGATCTTGTCGAAATCGATGCCGTCCAAATTAAGATTGTCCAGATTGATGTTATCCATATTGATATCGCCCAAACCGACATCGTCCGAATCGGCATTGAATAGGTCGGACATATCAACGTCTCCATCGTCGTCGTCCGTGACAGTAGCATCAAAGGCCGCGGGCGTAGTAGTCATAGGAATGTCAGCGAGATTGGAAGCTCCAGGCTGTGCGGATGAATCGCCATCATTATCGCCGCCACCCTCGTTACTGTCGTTGCCATCATCCATCTGATCATTGGTGTCAGCTTGATTGTCCAAAGTCTGACCGTCATCATTGTCATGACTATGCGGATCGCTCTCACCGTGCTGCCCCTCATCGCTCGAAGAAGACCCGTCGATCCCCTCCATAGGTCCTGAGCCAGCTGAACCCGACGGCGATGGAGGGTTCGCGCCTCCACTACCGCTCGATGGATCGAAAGGAGAGGGTGTGTCGTCACTGCCACCTCCACCTCCATGGCCACTACCACCATCTCCACCGAAAGGGCCACCAGGGCCGGGCGGCGGGTCTCCACCATCACCACCAGCCCTTCGAGCCGCGGCTTCACGCTCTCGTCTCATAATGGTCATCATACTAGGACCTCCCAGCAGCCTGTTACGCCACTGTTCTGCGGAGTCTGGATGTTTTGGGTCTGTGGGCCGAGCGGCAGGCCGGTTGTAGATGGCAGGAAGGGCGAATTGCGTCTTGAGTTCCTCTTCTGTGAACATAGGCGGCTCGGTCTTGCTGGAAGGAAGCGAGCTGAAGGGGGCCCAAGAACGACTATTTGCCGTGCCGGGGGCTGGTTGCGAGAGTAAGTCGGGGACAGTTGCATCGGCATTAGTGGTGGGCGTAGCTGCTGAAGCATCATTGCCCATGTCTTCCATTGGCGCATCTTCTGGCGAAAAAGATTCCTTGTCGGGTTCAGGAGTGGCATGCTCTGGGGCACCAGGTATCGGCGTATTGCCTGAATCATTGTCACCTTTACCATCATTATTGTCATCGCCATCACCAGGCGCGGGTGCTCCACCAGAAGCAACCTCCATAGGAGTCAAGGCCTTCTTCTGCTCAGCCTCTCTTCGCACCTCCTCGCGCTGCCTCTCAAGTGCTGCAGCAATTTCGGCATCGATAGGACTCGCTGGCTGTATCGAAGCTGATGTGCCTATCGTAGGACTCCCACCGAAATCGAACTCTTCTTCACCTTCGACCTCGTCTTCTCCTTCGTCGCTTTCTTGCACACTATCATGCTCATCGTCTTGCGTATCTTCCTCTTGTTGAGCTTGCACTGGACCAGCGGCTGGACCTTGGTGATCTGGGGCATTGACGGGCTCCGAAGCAGGGTCTTTAGGAGGCGTGCGCTTGGTGGGTGTAGCGAGTTCCGTCATTTCAATGGGAACAAATGTCATGGGTGTGTATCCTTCTTGCGTCGCAGATTCTGGCGGGTTAACTACGATGGAAGGAAGATCAAACGAGATGTCAAGCGTTGGCTCCGGCTCAGTAGTGTCTGTGGCAGACTTCGGTACATCATTAGGTGTTATGACGGGAGTAGGTACAATCAGAGAACCAGAGGAATTTGCTGGTATCGCAGAAGTAGCACTAGTTGAGGGAGTAGTCGTAGCTGGGGGAGCAGGAAACACTGGCGGGGGAGACGCTGTGATCGTGGGAGTGGTCGTTGTTGGAGGAGTAGGCTCGAACAGAGGAGTACGTTTGAACTCGGCAGCTGGCGTGAGTGTACGCACAGATGCCGATGTATCAGCAACCACCGGTATCACTGGTACTTGAGTCGCAGGGTCTGGAATAGCTTCAGTCGCAGTCTCAGACGGGATAACAGGAATTGGCTCCTCGGGTTTCTCATCTTCAACAGTAGCCCGGTGCTGTTGCTCAGTTTCTGTAGGCTGAGATATCATCGAAGAATCAGTAGCTGGACTTTTGCTGGCGTCGTTTGACAATTGTGGCTCCTCGTGTTCTGCACCGCTCCCCAGGCCAGATTGCTCTAGGAAGTCCTTGTGCTCCTGCTCAGCAGCAGCCCTGGCGGCCTCGATAGCATTTTCTCTTGCTGTGCGCGCCGCTTCGCTGTCGAAGAGCCAAGTCATCCAGCGCTCTAGCCAAGGAAGAGATGCGTTTGTCTGTGTCCATGCATCTGCGGTGGGTGTCTCAGTATGAGCCTGAGCCTGATCCGGGGTCTCAATCGATTGCTCCCGTGTTGGGGTTACCACGGGAGTCTGTACAGGCGAAGCCTGTTGTTGAGTGGGCAACGCGTCTACTTCGTCTGGCAGCCCTGATAAGTCCTCATCCACAAGATCAACTGCTTGACTGTCGCTGGGTGGCTGAGGCGCTTGCTCCGGCTGTGCGTCTTGAGGCTGATTGGGAGTATCAGGTTCCCCAATCAAGGGGTTTCCCAATTCTGACTCTGCGACGTCATTGTTAGGGGCGGGAATCTGTGCTGCGGAAGGGCTTGGTGGTGGAGAGCCAGGAGCCACAACTTCATCCGGCAGGTCAGGGAGCGGTTCATTGGGAGAATCTCGGACCACGATCGGGTCCGGCCGCCAGTAGGCTAGAAGTAGAAGTATGACAAGAACAGTCGCAAAGATGATGCCATAGTCCTGAGTGCAAGCAAGGACCCCGTTTGTGCCTAGGACGTACATTACCATGAAACTAGTTGCAAATGTAAAAGACGACCGGACCTTATGTGCGGGATGTGCTTGAGCGGCCATGATCCAGCCTAAGGTACATACACTGGTGAATGCGATGATGGTTGTCGCACGCCATACCCAATGGTAAGCTAGGCCTTGGCACCAATTGTTGAGGCAGCGTGTACCCACGGCAGATACGACCGGCTTGATTTGTGCCCTGTAGAACAAGCTGAGATTCATCGACATCCTTCCGAATGCTGAAGAAGTCGTTTTCTGGGTGCTTGCGATGAAACTGGAGGTAGCATTCCTAACGGACTTGGTAGCCCATGCCGGCGAGAGGGTAGTGGGTATACGAGAGCTCGTAACCCTTTTCGTTGGGGTAGCAGTGTACACGTGAGAGCTCGTTGCGCGTTCCCGCGAAGTTGTAGTGAGTTTACGAGAAGGCGTGACCCAATTCCGTAAAGCTGTCGTGGTTACAGCAGTCCATGAAGTCGACCCCTTAACTGGGGATGGAATAGACGCAGTGCTAGTAGTAAACTCCTTAACTGTATGAGCAGCTACATCCGACGTCCTTTCAGTCCAAGGCTGTATCGTGTGCCAGATCGCCGTGAAAAGAGACTGAAACAATGGTATGAATGCATACGTCAATGCCCAGAGGGCGAACATCCCAACGACTGGGCCAGCCCATACTGGAAGCAACCCATATACTGTCCGGGGACCGAGTGTGATTATCGCGAGCACCCAGTGGAACAATCCGCCGACGGTCTTTGGGTGCCATGGGAAGACAGCGCGACCTCTGACGATGAGCATGAACTTGTACCGAGCCCAAGCTTTTACAACCCGGAGTTTCGCTATGCAGATTCGAGAGACTTCGATGATGCCGTGCACGAGGGAGTCGATATATGAGAGACCCACAAGCTTGAGCACGACAGCAAAATGACTGAAGGGTGGTGCAACGCCACCTCTGAAAAGTCTATCAGCGCACAAGGATGGCTGGTCTATATTGATGAGGACGTATACTACTACTGCAACCGCAGCGTAGTATCGTATCCAGGTTCGCGCGGCGATGACCGATCGGTATGAGCCGCCTACCACGAGGTTTAGTATGGTGAACGTCTCTTCGCGATAGATGGAAAGAACGTGTATCGCTGGCACACTGGCCAAGATAACAGCCAAGTCCTGAACGTAGACACTGAGCCAGATGACAGTTATCACAACAGTGAAGCCGATGCAACAACGAATTAATATCTCTTTCCGGTGCGGCATGACAGCAGGCGCGCTGGGCGACAGATCCTGGGTCTCAGACATGTCTTCATCCTCGCTTAAATCGCTTTCATCTTCTTCGTGGTGAACAACTTCGCGGATCCTTCGTCCGGCGCAAAGGAGGAAATAAATCGCGATACCGACGAGGGTGGCATACAACGCCCGGTCTATGATGAAGTGATCGGCTTGCTGCTTTCCCAGGAAGTTGGCTACTGCTTTCTGCCACACGTTGTAGGATACGGATCCGATGCTGCGTGCATATGCTACAGGTTTGGAGTATGGCAATGTTGGCAAGCGAAATTCCGCGTAGGCGAGATATCCAACGACAAACATATACGCATTGCGCACCATAAATGCCACCATATCCTGAATGTCCGGGTCATCCTTATACAGATGTTCGCATACGGCGAAGAGAATGGATGGCACATATCCCACCATGATATCCGCCATGGTGATAGGGCTACTGTAGTAAGATGACTTGGTCGGCTTTTGATCTGCTTGTTGTGTGATGTATTTCTCATCAATCGCTCGTCGAAAGTCATTCCAGCGTGAGAGTTTGGATTTGGCGAATGGCGGCGAATCTCGAAGTGGTTTGCTAGCCGGCTTTTGTTTGTAACGTGTAAAGGCTGGCTTGTGTTCTCTCGGCGTAACGGTGCTGTCTTTGGTGCTGGACACAGGTGCGCTGGGAAGTGTCTTAGATGACGACGAATCTTGGAGTGATTTCCTAGCCGCCTTTTGTCTGTAATGCGTAAAGGCTGGCTTATGTTCTGTGATCTTCGATATACTGCTCCGGGTGCTTTTGCTAGCCGCATGTTGCCTATAATGTGTAAAGGCTGACTTATGTTCTTTGAGGCCAGAGTCAATGCTCGCAGTGCTAGATAGAGGAGCACTGGAAACTGTCTTTGATCTCTGCGGAATGGTGATGGCTGCAAACGAATAGTCTATGATCTCATCGAACGACTGTGAGGTAACCGGTAATTGTTCAACCACAACTGGAGAAGTGGTCCAAGAAGGCATCTTGCCAACGGTGGGGGACCTGGTCGATGTGACGTCTCTGGGTGCATCGCTGATGGTCGACTCTTTCGATGCCGTGGAGGATTGCGAGCCGTGTAGAAGCCTACTCATCCGGGCTTTGAAGCCTGTATTTGTGACATTGGAAGATTTCGTACCCAATACTGACGGTACCTCGTGAACAGGATTGCTCTTCTCAGAAGAAGCACTCGTCGTTTTTGCTCGTGAACGCTCTGGACTCTTGCTAGATAGCTCCGGCAATGTATCTCGTGGAGTACTACGTTCCGAGGAGAGTTGCGATGAACTACTCGGTTCTGAACGAGCAGAGCTTTCCGTGACAGATTTGGAGATGTCCTGGATTGATTCGGAAGACGAGGAAGTGTCCAATACTTCAACTTTGGCTTGCTGTTCGACAGTGGAGGGTGTGTTGCAGGCCGGTGAGACAGAACTAGTGACGGTGATAAGGGTAGGCCGGGGAACTTTGGTGACTATTGATTCCACGATTCTGGCTGCGTCTTCGATGGTGTGGACGGGTTTGGCGACAGATGTCGTAACAGGCCTGGGCTTCTGATACCAAACCTTGGCCTGCTCAAAGTTTGGTATGTAATGCGGCACAGCAGCAGCGACGGCACCTGCAGCGTAGATACCAGCTGCTACTTCGGGGTGTTGGCTCCACAGGTGCGCAAAGGCTTGTATTACAGCACCAGGAAGGGCGTCCATGGTAGGCGAATTTGCTGGTGTGTCTAGAAGATATGTGTATCGTGATCGTATTCTCGAGGGTGTGAACACATGTGGTGCAATATCATGAGGGCGTGCCTTGTTGAAATGGGCGATGTATGGAGTGTCTCAAACCTGAGAAGCCGGCAGACATGTAGCTGATGAGACAAAGCGTCCTCTCCAGGTCGGACAAGACAAACAGAATTTCGAGTGAAAGGCCGCCACCCTAGCATCAATGTGAAGTTCACATTGCCTTTGTCCGCCGAAAGAGAAAACTTCGGCGTTGTTGTGAGAGACAAGACAATGAAACCAAGAGCGTGCACTTCAGAGACCAATGCGGCATTGCAACATGAGCGAATTTTACACTCAGATGTGGCTCGGCGCGCCAAATGGCGATCCAGTCATCGATGTTAGGGTATCGAGCCTAGATAAGGCCTTCGTCACTGGCAGGAATCATCATGCGCTCACTAGCCATGAAGCCTGCGTATGGTCGGAGACGATGAGATCTGGGCAAACACGTGAAGCCAGCATCGAGAATGGATACGTCCGCCATAACAGACATATCGCTTCATGACGTGGGCCTGTGTGCGACGACGATCAGTTCCCATGCCCTTCCACCAATCCGCTCGGCGCTCTGCTCTTCCACAGTCCATCCGGCAAAGCATGCTTTGTAGTCATCCCAATCCGATTTGGGGCCTGCCCATATCACTCTCTCCACGCTGTCCTGGCCATACTGTGCAAGGTATTCGCGTACTAGCCCGACGCGTCGCGGGTATACGAAAAGCCATGTCGTAGCCTCCGCCGCGAGCGGCTCAAGAAAACGCGTGCCGTGAACGATGCGATGGTTTGAGGAAGGCAAGAACTTGTTCGAGCTCGGTTCTACTTCAACACCTATAACGTGGTACGCGTAGGGTGTGGTGATGAGATAGCTTTCGAGGAGGCCGAAGCCGCTTCCGACGGATAGAGCAAGCGCGGGAGGCTGAGGAAGGAGCGAGGCGAGGTAGGCAATGAGGGTTTCGCTGAGAGCTAAACAGCATCCCGAATAGGCTGTCGGTGAAGTCGTGAGTACTGGCAGTTCCGCGACGTCTTCTACTGGGTCTGGTGCCTCATTGTTTGACGCGTCCACATCCGGCTGTATTGGTGGCAAGCGCGCCTCGAGGCCCATGATTAGCACGATTACAGTCGGTAGCGCACGCAGATTCCAATGTGCATTGAGAGCGTGTGGACGCGATGCTGATACAATTCGGCTCCGTCGTGATTGTGAGTAATGACAGAGGCTTGATGGTTCTTGACGCGACTAGACACGCATGGGGCTAAGCTTGGGAGCTATGGCCCATGACATATGCACATCACATGCAATGCACGAGGACGCCCCGCCCGCCATCACCAAGCATAGCTACAACCACCGACTCTACTGCATCTTGCGTCATCTCTTCCCACTGAAAGCTTTTGAAAGCTACGTGGCGCCACGAGAGCTGTCATGGCCCGCCTCAACCCATTCTCCTTCACGCCTGGGCCAGTCATCTTCTTTACTACCATCGTCTACGTGGGCCTCTTTGCTGCCCTGCTCGTTACCCACCTGACGGTACCGAATTATCCATCCAATCCGCCAACCGGTGTCAACCTCACAGAAGCTTGGGGCGACCTCCAGCACATTACCCGCCGGTTCCACCCATACAACAGCCACGCGAACGACGATGTACGCAAATATCTGCTTGCGCGCATTAAGGCCATCGTTACTTCAAAAGACCTGGAAAAGGGCCAAGTCGAGCTCTTCGATGACCTGACCGCAAACGCCACATTTTCATCTGGCAGCACATCTATCTATTTTGAAGGCACTAACATCATTGTTGCAATCCGCGGTTCTGATGATGACGAACCCTTCAATGGGACTCAGCGCAGTCCGGACAACGGCGGCGTACTTGTGAACGCCCATTACGACTCAGTGAGCAGCGGGTATGGTGCAACTGACGATGGCGTGGGTGTTGTGACGATACTGCAACTTCTATCCTACTTCACAGAGTCCAAGAACTGGCCCAAAAGAACCGTTGTATTGCTGCTTAACAACGGCGAAGAGGATTATCTCAACGGCGCCAAAGCTTTCATGCGGAACCCGATTTCTCAGGTCCCCCATACGTTCGTAAACCTCGAGGGAGCTGGAGCTGGCGGCAGAGCTACTCTGTTCAGGAGCACCGATACCGAAGTCACCCGCTACTACAAAAAGTCTAAATATCCTTTCGGGACAGTCGTAAGCGGAGATGGCTTCAAAAAGGGTTACATTCGAAGCGAAACTGATTACAAAGTCTTCCACGGCGAACTTGGGCTACGCGGCCTTGACATTGCGTTCATGGAGCCCAGGGCCAGATACCACACAGTGGAAGACTCCACACGTGAAACTTCGATGAACTCGCTTTGGCACATGCTTTCAGCAGCTCTGGCCTCAACATCCGGATTGGCTTCCATCACCAGTGACGAATTCAGTGGCTCAGAAAGCCTCGATAACGGTAGAGTCAATGCCGGAACTGGCAGTGACGGCGTGTGGTTTGACCTCTTCGGCAAGGTGTTCGTCGTTTTCAACCTACATACCCTTTTCGCTTTGTGCGTCACTTTGCTGGTTGTGGCACCTCTTACGTTGATTGGGCTCACCTTTGGGCTCTCCAAGGCTGACAAGAACTACCTATTGGCGCGCAAAGCCTACATCTATTCGTCTGACGATGACAATCCGGTACCCTTATACGGCTGGCGCGGCTTCTTCCGCTTCCCCATCATCTTTGTCACAGCAAGTGCTGTTGTGGTCGCATTGGCTTATCTCATAGTCCGGTTCAATCCCTTCATTGTTTACAGCAGCCCATTCGCCGTCTGGAGGTGAGTCGCTCATGCTGCTACTCTGTTCACAACTAACAATATCAACAGCATGATGCTCTCAGCCTGGGTATTCATCGCTTGGTTCCTTGCGCGAGGGGCCGATGCTATGCGACCATCCGCACTCCAGCGCATGTACGCTTTGATCTGGCTTTTCATCGGCTCCTTCGTGCTTCTGACAATCATCACGGTCTTCGTGAACGACTATCAGGTTGCCGCTGGTTATTCTGCGATGTTCTACTTCGCAGCTGTGTTCGCGGCAATCCTCCTCTCCTACCTCGAACTCTTCCTCGCTCCAACCAAATCTGTGTATGCCCGTCATTTCGAGCAAGAGGACGAATCCCGGCGTAACTCAGAGTCCGCAAGCAGGCCCCTTACAGGCAGCACCACCGCTGCACGGTCCGATGATCGCCCCGTGGGAGACGATGACGCCACCGAGACCACCTCACTTTTACGCGGCGATCGACGTGGATTCGCAAGATACGGCGGCAACAGGCGAGACTCCATCAGCGAGAGCGGCGAGGATCATGCTCAAGGGCCCCGGCGAATAGATCTCGGCAACGTGTATCCTGGAGAACAAGAGTGGAGCGGCAAATTACCGAGCTGGATCTGGGTCGTTCAACTGCTACTCTTAGCGCCAATCGTGATCATCCTTGTCGGACAGGTCGCTCTACTCCTCACGTCGGCCCTATACCAGACGCCATCCGATGGTAACTCGCCTCTGTTTATTTACCTCGCCTTCGCAGCGCTTACTGTGTTGTTGCTCGCACCCACCGGCCCGTTTATTCACCGCTTCACATATCACATCCCCACCTTTTTATTCCTGATATGCGTCGCAACCGTCATCTACAACCTTGTTGCGTTCCCTTTCAGCAGGGATCATCGCTTAAAGGTGTACTTCGTCCAGCGGGTTAATTGCGAGACTGGTCATAACGTCGTGTCCCTGACCGGCTTGGACGGCTATGTGCAACGCATTGTTGGCGAGTTACCCAGTGCGCAAGGCCAGCAGCTTGATTGCACGACGCCCGAGGTTGCGACGCGTAAGGAACTAAAGCAGTGCCAGTGGCAGGGTCTTGACGCTAAAGTCGTCCCAAAGACAGCGCAAGTCGCGCCATTTGACAACAACACGTACATTGCCAGCTGGCTCAATTACTCGATCCATAAGGGCAATCACTCAAACAAGGCGACGATACGCGTTGTTGGGCATAACACTCGAGCATGTCGCGTGCTTTTCGACTCGCCCATCACAGCGTTGAGCGTCGACGGCGCCGTTTCAGATCCTCGCTTCAAACCCGTCGGTGGGGACGGCGCCCGGGAAGTGCGACTGTGGCATCGCGAATTTGGGCAGCCCTGGAACGTTAGCGTGACTTGGAACGCCAAAGAACAATCGAAACTTTCTGGAAGGGTCGTGTGCATGTGGTCGGACGCCAACACAGGCGACATCCCTGCTTTCGACGAGGTGCAGCACTATCTGCCTGTGTGGGCAATTCCCTCCAAGATTAGCGATGGCTTGGTCGAGGGCTTCAAGCAGTTCGAAATCTAGGGCAGCGGGCTTTAGTTGCGGGGATCCCTGCATGTCTCCGTTACTTTTGCTGCGATATCCATCACGCAAGCAGTCGAGCACGGCGTCACAGCTCACATGCAACCCCTCACTTCAATTACTCATTTATGCGAGCTTCCCCTTTATCTCATCAATGCCCCAACTTGTTCACGATCCATTTGTTACTGTTCTTTTTGGAGTTTGGCGGTATCATGTTCACGGCCATTGCATCTTGTACACCCAACGTATAGCATCTTGACGTCAACTTAATGAACTCTATTATCACGACGCCCAAGGCCACCAACCCTCGCTTCACTCTTCGACTCGCCTAATTCCAGCCTCTCGATTCCACGTCTCACCACCGAACCGTTCGACAGCTTGGCTCGTACCAGAATGCTGAGAGCGTTTGACGGAGCCCAAGACACTTCACAACGTTATCCGCTACCTACCGACGCAGGATTTACCCCTGCTTTGACCCGAAGGTTTCTTTTAGCTGCGGGAGAGACTATATCATCATCTATAGAGCCATCGACTTTGTCATCGACGTTGACGACTACTCTTGGTTCGATAGCTACTCCAGCTGTCTGTACCGCCAGTCACC